ATAAATGTTCATTGTACCATCTAGTTCTGCATTTCTTTTGAATTATGACTGACTGGAACCAACAGCAAATCACAAACCAATTTTTTTATTTATTTATTTTCACATAAAAGGCTGTATGCGAAGGCATTCTACACAAATCTCTTCTCATAATAAACAAATTTTGCGTGAGAATTTCACGTTTCCACGCGAAACATTCAAGCGGAGCCATCAAAAACTTTCGCTTATGCTATCAAATTGTATTTTTATCAGATACCCCCGCCCCAGCTCCGGCTTTTATGACGCGCATAAACAATTTGTACCTACACACATCCGATAAATATACGCAGATACCTACCTACATATTCCAATATGACGTAGGAAATCACTCAAAGAGTAATAAATGCGTAAACAAATGAAATGGGCATAAGTTGAACAGCAAAGGTTAACGCAAAAAAGTTGTAATATTGATAATAAACTAGCAAAACTTTTGGCTAAGAATATCGCTATAAAGGTGAGAGAGGAAGACACGCGAAAGAGTCACACGTGTTTCACACGCTAACCGGAAAGTGGTTATGGTGGTTGTGCCGTGGCGTAAAATTTTTCGCAAGTGACGCAATTTTGCAAACAAATGCTGGCAAAAACTTAAAAAATTGCAGTCAGCGAGCAACTCGATGAGCCGACGAATCAATTCGTGTGTGCCACATGAGTGAGTGTGTGTGTATGTGTGAGTAATGGTGTGGGTGTGAGTATAGTTGTTGTCTTTGCCGATGTTGGCTGTACGCATAAAATTATTAGAACGATATAATTTAATTATCAAGAAGCAGCAGACAGGGAAGCGAAGCCGAAACAAAAGAGCGAAGCAATTGCGAAAATAAACGGCAAATGGCAAAACGCTTGTGCGATAAAGTTCATTGGCATACGGGGCGTATGAGTGTGCGTATGAGTATCCATTTGATTACACACATACATACGAGTGTGGGTTTGTTGATGTGTGCGTGTGTGTGTGTGTGTGTCTGGTACGAAATATTGTGTAGTTGAATTTATTATTTAATTATGTTGCGCGTACAAGAAAAACGAGCCGCCACCAAGTACGGACAGCAGCGAAGACGCAGAATGCGAAAGAGACGATGAACGTGGAGACGACGCTTATTTGACAATGTACTACGACGCGTATTGACGGCAACGCACAGTGCGTGACAATCGTATGTGTACTCACACACACATACACACACATGTGCAAGTCGTACTTGTATCTAGATATGACAAAGTAGTGGTAGTAGCTGTTGTTGTGCAAAAAGCATGCGATAATATAGCAGGCAGACACGCCCCAGCAACGAGAGGGCGAGGCAGGGAGTGGGCCCATCAGACGACATTGAGTTGAGCGCATTAAGTAAAGTTCGTTTAAGTAACTGAAAGTGTTCCAAAAACGACAAGCGTGAAGAAAGAGAAGCAAAGAGAGAGAAAGAGAGAGAGCGAAGCTGAGACAGTAAAAAGTTCAGCCAAGCGACATTGAAATAAAAAAAAACACAAGAGAGATTGTGAAATTGTTTCCCCTCCCTTCAACTGACAATGATAACAACATACGATATGATTTACTTGTGCTTGCCCCTCTTTATGTGTACATACATACATCAGTACAAATATTTTATCAGCATTTTATGCTTAATGTACAGTTACACACGCACGCACGCACACACATACACGCCCATATATGTACATATACTATATATAGTACATGTGCAACTGCTGGTACTTTAGAAAAATTTTCTTAGCAAAACACACGCTGCGAAAAACTGTCAAAAAATCAAGTATACGTCTCAAGAAACGAATGTCTGTTACATCAAGTGTGTGTGCCTGCCTGACTGCCTGCCTGCCTGTCTCCCTGCCCCCCCTCCCTCTCTCATGCGCTCGCATTCTGTCAGCAGAGATTTTGAGCTCTGCATGTTGGGAAAAACCAAACTTCATGCTGTGCTGCCTGTCAGTGCGGTGTTGAGAGTCGTCTGACGACTAACCAACCAGTCAGACGCTTAGACAGCCAGCCAGACCCTACGCTCCATCAGTTTGAATGTCATTTAAACACTCAAGTAGAAGACGCAGGCAACAACAACAGCAACAACAACAACAGCAGCAGCAGCAGATGCTTAAGTGCCAATCAACTCTTTTGCATATGCATGTCTTAGTGAAGCTTTGGCTTTAATGTGGCTGCCGCCCCCAGCTAAAAAAGTTTTACAGCTTTTCGCATTATCGTAAGCAGCAGTAGCAGCAAAAGCAGCAGCAGCAGCAGCAGTTTTTCATCAGCTTCTTTATTTAATTTCACGTTCGTACATTTCTGATATATTGCATTAAGGGCGAGTTTTCTTGTAAATAAGCGACTTTGGCGCAAATTAGTTTTTAGTTAACTTGTTCGAATTGCGTTAACTTTTCTACGTAATACACAAATCTCATCATATTGGTAATGCGGCCGTCGCAAAAATACAACCATTCGCTTAAACTGTCTAGTTTATTTAATCGTATGCTTAAGACTAAAGACTTGCCGCTTGCAAGCAATATTATTCGAGAGCAAAAATTAATCAACTCTCGCTAATTTAACGCTAAACAACTAGCATATTACTTATAACGAAAGAGCCTGCAACTATAATGAGTTGTTTAAACGAAGCTTTAAAAAGTCAAACCGAATGAGAAACAAATAAAAATTGCACCGAAACTGAAATGTATTTTTAAAATACTAATAGTTAAAGAATTTCATTTGTTTTACAATTTCAAATGCTTGCGAAAAAATGATTTATCAGGCAAGTTAATCTGATACTTATATTTCTAGCGAAAAACTTAAATGTAATGGGGCATTTTTTCGCTCGGAAATGACTGAAAACAAATTCCAACTTTTAATCAGCAAATTTTCTAGCAAGTTTTATAATAAACACTTCCTACGAAATCCTACGAACAAATTCTTCATGTTCGTAAGCATTTGTGCGGTCATGGTTTAAAGCAATATTCCCATTTTCTGTGGAATTTTTGTTTATGTACCAAACATAAAACTCACATTTCTAACAAATTCTGTAACTCATGTCCAAAGGGCATATCAAATGACAGTTGAGAGCTCGCATAACTTTCGGTGGCCAACGGGCTGGCACTTTCCATCTAATGTGATCAATTAGAAAGTTGCAGCTAGCAAGTGCATGGCGAATACCACAATGCAGCATGACAAGCTGCAACATCCGAGCCGCTCTTTTGGCACGAAAACTCACCAGCCGGATGACGTTGGCCCCATCTTGACCCATGCTAATGGATTTTCGTATGAGCGAAACCCTAAAATGTGGCAAAAAGTTTCTCGACCATGCACCCAAGGCGCTGGTTCTTGGTTGCCATGAGCACCTTTAACCCTCTGCCGCCCTGAATATTGCTGGCAAAGAAATGCAAAATTGTTGTCGGAATGTGGTGTCCATGTTAAACAAAAAGATATTCAACAGAAATTGTGCGCTGTGTTGGTATGTGTGTGGTGTGTGGTATGGTGTGTTGGAATTTTCCGCTCAACTTTTATATTTTACGTTTTTCTACAACTTGCATTTCTCTGCTACTGCCTTTTCGTTTTGGCACATTATCAAAAGTATCAATGGCGAAAACCTCAAGCCGTGCAGATGGCAAGATGTTGAGAGACGGCCACGTGAATACCAGCACAATATCACAAGAAGAACGCATTAAATAGATGATATAGAAACCGGAACTCGGCACAATATTTACGAATATTCTTTTTGAAAGATACTTACGAGAAAGCCACAGAAATAAATGTGCAATAATGCCTACTAACACCGCCGACAATTTGGGGTAATTTTGTTTAATATTCGGGCACTGCTATGCTCCGATTCCCAGCCAAAAGTGATAAAGTTACCAATAAAATAGAAGGTAAAAGATAAAAATTAATTCTAATTAATTGCTAATTAGATTACTAAAGAAGTAGAGAGAGGGAAAGGAAAATCTCCAATCCACCGGGATAAAATGGATTAACAGAACGATTGAGAACGAGAAAAGAATCAAATACGCTCTTATATTTCCAATCACATTTTTATTTTATTTTTCCATACTAAAAACACGTCAATTCTGCTGCTAACACTTAGAAGACAGATTTCGATTATATTTGTATAAACATCAATTTTCATTTATCTTCTTCAGTCTGTTTCAAATAAAGTTCTCAAAGTAAAGTTTAAAACATTAATTTATTTCTATTATAATATTCTCAATTACTAAAAAAAATACGAGAAGAACTTTTTTTATGTTGGTCGTGTGGCAAATAAGGAATCACATTATGTGCCTCAAGAATAGAGAAAACTGAATTACATTTAAATATTCCTAAGAAATAAACGAGGTGAAATGAAATACTTCTACATAAATTGAAAAATATAAACAATAGTTATGTTACAACTCACGTCCATCTCTAGTTTTGTTAGATGCCCGACTGTGCGTTCTATAATGCTCAGTATATGTATGTGTGAGAGAGTGAGTTTTATTTGTAGCATACAAATTTTATAGAATTTCAACGCCTGCCTTTTGCTGCTGCCAAATATCCTGAAGGGATATATGCATGTAAACCTCATGCAGCTCCACACACACACACACACACACAGACATGTATTTGCGTGCACACACGTGGCATTTTAAGTGAAAAATGTTTGCCAGGGCATGGCTACAGTTGCCAGCTGTGCTTCCTTTACCTTGAATATGTGTGTGTGTGTGTGTGTGTGTGTGTGTGTGTGTGTGTGTGTGTGTGTGTGTGTGCCATTCAATAACTTCAAATGGCAGCTGGAATTTCAATAAAAATACTTTTGCTTACTCTGTTTCGACACACAGATACATACATACCAGTACATGCAACAAATTTGTGAATGCATTGACTTTGCATATTTTAAAAATCGCTTTATTCTTGTATGCGGATATACATAGAGTATGTACATATTTGAAGCAAAAGCTTTAAAAACAAGCATGTCTGCATAATAATAATCGGCAATGTTTCATTGTTTCCTTTACAGTACGGTCAACGCGTGCCCACTGCAGCCTCTCCGAGCAACACAAACTCGAGCAGCTCATCGAACACAGGCTCCCAAAGCGGCACCCTGAGCACTAGTCTGAGCAATACGACAAACACAAACACAACCATGGGTCCCAACGGCACGGCACAGAATCAAAATCAACAGGGCGGCGAGCAATTGTCAAAGACAAATCTATATATACGCGGACTGCAGCAAGGCACAACCGACAAGGACTTAGTTAATATGTGTGCACAGTGAGTATACAGCACAGACTGAAAAGTATCTGACAGATGCGAGCAGTGATTTATTTAATAAGCCGATGGAATTGCAAGCCTGCAAATTGCCACAAAATGCAATTTGTAGCCATCAGTGTGGGCGTCTGCTGCCACTGGGGGAGAGGGGAACATGAGAGTGTCTCTGTGGCTTGTAGTTGCTTGTCTGCCCTGCGGCTTGTATGGATTGCTTATTATATTATGGATACAACAGCAGTAGCAAGCACTTGCCCACTCAACCTCTTCAGAGCGTGCCTGCACCTTATGCAAATTAATTTTAATTGTCTCTTTCTTGTTGCTACAAACATGCGAATGCCCCTTTTCTAATTGCGTCCAATAAGTTGCTTTCATTGCTTCGTTTGAAGCAGCTTTTTCTTTACTTCAATTTCCATTCCATCTTCGCAATTAATTGAATTTTAATTGCATACATAAATAATTGTGCGTAAGTGCGCATTCCTCCTTGTATTTATTGGCCTTTCAGCAAAGGCTGCGAGGGTCTGAATTTAAGGAAATAAAATCAATTAAAGGTTCAATTTATGCAATTAGCTGAAAACTTCGTTTTAGTGATTCTTAGAACTATGGAAGTTACATTGGAGCAAATAAATCCCAATTTATGTTGAAAATATATTCTATATTTCTCAGCTTTATCAATTTTCTCATAAAAGACAAACCGTGTCAACAGAAGACGAATTTATGTTAACTGTGATTTCCAAACTTTCCACATCAGACTTGAAAATGCAAATAAAACAATTCAATAAACTTTGGTTAACTATGTTCTTAATAAACCAATAAATTGTAATCCCACTGATATACGATATTTATAAAAATTTTCTCTCAGCCTTCTAGCGGCTTGACTCAATCAAATTACAAATTTCATTAAAAAATCTTTTCAACTTTTATACGAAACAATTTCTTTCGAAAATAAATTTATTAACAAAATAAGCAGTTTAGTAAAAGAGAGAAAACTTGTATCGATTTATATCAACTTCATTGGAAAGCCAAAAATCGATTGACAGCTGTCCCACTTAAAGAACTTCCACTTTGTACATGAATACTAAAATTAAACTAAAGGATAAATAAACTTCAATCGTTAGTAATTCAGCATGAATATGAACAAGTTTCGGCAATTTCTCGGATGACCCAAACGGAGGCCCTATTTGTTGTTACTCTGGAACTCAAGCAGAAATTCCCGTTTATGCTCTGCATAGCAATCCCAAAATCCTGTTCTGTACGCTGCTAATGAGCAGCTCAGCCTCAGCTCATTACGCTTCGCTGAATTTCTATGATAGCCCGCAATCCACAACCGCCACCTCCCCTATACCCTACACACAGCACCACCACCATCAACACACCCACACATTTAGTTGCTCCCCTAAACAAAAAAAAATGGAGAGGAATGGAACAACCCCCAATTGTGTGACCAGCACAAAAACCTAAGAAAGGCACCACACACACACACACACACATACTGAGCTCCTTTTGGACTCCCCATCCTTTCCTGAAATTTGTGCAAGCCAAACAAAATCCCCTAATTAGTGCGCACGCTTCATCAATGGCCACAATAACAACAACTAAAGCACTAAATAATAAACAGCAAGCAAGGCATTTGCACAATAAACAAGTAAATAATTACATACGAGTACATACATTCGAAGGTATATACATATAAATATATACATAGAATTATTATTTATATGCAAAGAGAGCGTTTCGTGATGATGAATGCATTGCGTATACGCAACGTTGCGCACTTCATTAATGCTTCCTTTTTGGCCTGGCAGAGCCATAAAAAATACATAACTTATTAGAAGCTACACATAAAAAAAAACTAATGTAAATAGTCAGCAAAAACATGAAGTAGAAAGGCAACATAGAAAAGTAAATATAAAAGCTGACGGCCGTGAGGAAAGAGCCTGTAAGCCGAGCTGAGTGAAAAAGCTGCCTCCTCATAATAGGTCAAGTAATTAAATTAAAGGTTAATTTGCTTCTTTTTTTTCATACTCAGCAGCAGCAGAAGCAGCAGCCAAAGCTGCCGCCAGCACCACCAACAAAAACTACGCGGTCGCCTTTTTGCGCCTCGCTGCAGGCAATCAAAATAAGCGGATTATTAGTGGTGGCGGGGGGGAAGAGGGGGCATAGAGTCAGGGGGCAAGAGGACGACACCGACGGACATTAATGTTATTATAACTATGTACACGAATAAATGTTGTAACTATGTTGATATCGATTTAATTTGCCAAGGGGTTGTGCCGTAGGTGGAGGGGGGTAGTTGAGTGGTAAGTGAATTATTGGTGGGCATAAATGAGCAATTTAAAATAGGCAGCTCACCATATACTTGCTGTGCATACATACATATGTACATGCACGAGTATATTCGTGATGATTGTTAATACTATGGCAGACCCGACTTTTGCGGCACAATTTTTATTGCCTACTTCAAGGCGCGCACTAAAAATTTCATTTTAATGACTCCTTAATGGCTTAGTCGAGCATAGTACGGTACAGTGGTGTAGTGGCATAGCACATGCCATGGCTGCTGGTACTTTGCAAAATTAATCAAAGCCAGCACACAGGCATCTGATTGCGGCACGTGGCATAGCGTCAAAGCCAACTTTGTCCGCACTCGCACAATCACCGTTCGCAACACGCACATGCAGCGTGACAAAAAGACAGACTAGCTGGCCAGACAGACAGACAGACCTGAACTTTTTTTGTTTTTAATCTGCTTATTTCTTTTGTTGGCTGCTGCTGTTGCCGCTGCTGTAATTGTTGTTGCTATTGTTGCCATTGCTGTGCATGTCCAAATCATAAATAAAAAGCCACAAACACACGCACGCAGCGACGCGTCATGCTTAACCACAGACAGACAGGTGGAGAGACTGACTGACAGACAGACACACAGACAGACAGACAAACAGCCAGTTTGCCAACATGCAAATGGTATTATCAATGAATAATGTAATAAGTTTTATACGTATTCGTGTGTTTGTGCTCTCAGTGTGGGAGTGTGTGCGCGCAATTGCAGCTGCTGCTTCCAACCTTATTTAATCAATGTTCTAATTTTCTCTCTCCCTCTCTTTCTACCCATTCACAGATACGGAACAATTATATCAACCAAGGCTATTTTAGATAAAACAACAAACAAATGTAAAGGTATTTTTTTCTTCACCATTCTCATCATTTATTTATTTATGTGTGTTTTTCGTATATGTACTTATTATGTATTAGTATGTGTTATCTCTATCTAAAAACAAAACCAAAAAGAATACTTACCAAAAAAAAAAAAAAATTATTTACAAAATCAAAATGAAATCATTTTTAATTTCAAAGTTCTGTTTTTATTTATAACTACGCTCAGTACGCCCAACGACACGCAAACTTTCAATTTAAACTAAATTGCTCGTAATATTGGTTTAAATAATGTCAATTTTATTAACAACTGTGAAGCTGAAAAGCGCAAAGCCTCGCAAAAGCGATAAACATTTTATAATCGACACAACCGAGTTACACCAAAAAAATAGTCGAGTTGAAGTTTGTCTGTGTTTTCTATCCAGCAATAAACACTTTCTTAATAGAAGCTTAATAGAGCCGCCATTTAACAACAATTATTCATTATGCTTTGATTGCCGATTCAATTTGCTGAGTGCAAAGGCTAATTGCCACGTTTGCAGAATCTGGATTATATATTTTAAATGTTTTGTAGCAAAAAAAATAAATCCTCAAATCGAATTTGAGTCAATAATCAATGCCATCATCAGCCAAATAAGAGTTGTTGATAAAACAGAACGAAAGCTTTCGCGGCTACAACAACAAATCAACTGATATACGAGTATTTTTCTAAAACTCATCCAAAATGTTGGGCCAAATTTCTATTTCCCACTAGAGATTTGTAATATTAAATTCTAAGATTCGCATATACAGCCCAATAGCTCTAAAAATATTACATAGACAGCTATTTGTTCCATTTTGGACATATGCTGAGAACTATATTTTCGATCTATAATAAACAACTTCAAGTTCTATTCTATTCGTTCCTTCGAGTACTGAGTCTTATCTATAGCTATTAGTTAAGTCTGTACTTTCTTAAGTGTATACTTTTTCTACTTTCGAGACATCAATTTTTGGCTTGTACTTATTTGTTGATTTATTCGATTTTCTTGTATTCTTTACGTTTTGTTTTACATAAATAAATTATGTTTAATTGGCAGTTTTGCAAACGTATGTACGTTAATTTCGATTTATGTTTAAGTATGTTTAAGTTTTTCTTAAAATTATGATTTCCTTTCTTTCATATGTATTTCGCAATCGTACATCATGCATTAACTCTACTACTACTACTACTTTTATCTAATACCTAATACTACAAGTACTATTGCACTTTATTGCTTACCCACAACTGCTAATGAATATTCCGATTAATAATGAAATACTGTGTACAAATTGTGCGTCCGTGCCGGACTTTATAGTTTGCTGCCAATTTATTTATTTATGTTTTTCTTTTGTCAACAATGTATTAAACCTTATATATTTATGTCTTGCTGTATCTCTTTCAGTTACAACCTTGCCAACCAATTATTAATTTAATTTCTACCATTTCTCTCTCCCCCTTCTCCAATCGAATTGTTGCGACACTTCGATAATATTTTGTTTTTGTTATTTTTTCCAAACCGTTGCACGTGACCCAATGCAAAAATTTGCTTTCGATTCAATTTAAATCCCTTTCGGCTTTTTTTTTGTACAACCATTCAATGTGTGCAAACAAAAAATATGAATAAATATCTATATGTTTATACATGCAATTAAAAAATGAAAAAAAAACATACACACGAAAAAACAACAAAAACAAAATATGTTTTTTGCAGGTTATGGCTTCGTCGACTTCGAGCAGCCAGCCTACGCCGAGGGCGCCGTCAAAGGACTTCAGGCGAAGGGCGTGCAAGCTCAGATGGCCAAAGTGGGTATCTGGGTGCTTCATAGGCCGGCCATTGTACGTTTGTTTGCATGCAAGTAATACTCACCCCTCACCAAAAAGCTCCCGAGACCCTCTATATACCGCACCGAAACAAATCCTAGACTCCCCCCCTCAATACCAATGAAAAATACATTTGTGCCAGATGCCTTTCGTTCGTTAGTTCGTTCGTTGGTTCGTTGCTTTTCGTTGTGAGCTTAGATTTTCGGTTTATTAAGTTACAATTAATTTTATTATGTAGTATTATTTATGATATACGCTTTTATGATGCGATTATTTTATTTAACGCCTGCCTGTTGGCTGCCAAACGCGTCCAAGATGAACTCATAAAAGTCAGCCCCCAGCCAGCCAGCAGCCTCTGCCATTCCTTTACGACCCCCACACATTTGGAAACTTTTTTTTTGGGGCCTGGGCGGACCCACGCAATTCGTTTTGCCAAGCTAGTGGCTGCCTACGCACATCGGAAGCTCCAAAAGAAAAGGTCAAATGCCCACGCTGCTCGAAAGGGCATCCACATCCGTTTCGTCGCGGCATCGTATTAATTCTGAGAACAGCCCTTTGCTCCATGTCTCAATGTCTGTCCGAATGAGCGCCATATTGAAATATACATTCCGTTCTGCCCTTTTGCATTTTCATTTTCCAACTTTGAGCAAATGGCGTCGCATTTTTTCTTGTCAAAGCGCCAAAAACTTAACAGTGCCGCCAAGGGGCGAGGCGTCAACTCCAATAACCCACGCGCAACCACAAATTTGCAAAATAAATTGCAAGTATTGCAATACAAAGGAGGGCTTTGCCAAATGCCGAAACTCATTTTATTTTCACTTCTTTGTTATACCCTTTCTAAGGCTGGTTGTTGATATTTTATTAAAAAGGCAACGCCATCCTTAAATCACTTATTCTGCAGATAGAACTATCCAACTTGTCGTATGGAAACCCTCTCTTAAAGCATAGCAGAAGCAACTTAAAATAGACGTAACTATGACTGAGAACTTTCTGTGACTAATACTCTTACCATAGCCTTGTGGAATAAGCTTAAATATTAGCAAGCGTATAACATCTTCGGTATGCCGATTATATTTATTTACATTTATTCTTGTTTTATTGCCACTCCCCTTTTTTTAGTTGAAAATCGATGATTTTTTTTTGTCCAAAATAGATACCTCCTACCCCTTACGCCCATGCCAGCCCAATTCGACCCAACAACCCCCCACCCCTTTAGTCTGTAGTGTTGTTTGTCGAAGACTTGTACAGTATTTACCAGCCACACACACCATATTTAGAAAAACAAAGAATTTTTTTAGTATTCCTCGCATATCAAACGGACATTCTAGCGTAGTTTAAATTTATTCAGCTCCAAATAACAAACATACGTACATACTCTATATTAAATAAATATACTTATGTAGTGTCATTTGACGTCGTTAGCGCAAATCCTAATTAAACATTTATTATACGTATAATATAGCGTGCATTTAATATTAATTGGAAAACAAATGTATTCATAAATTTCAATTTGGCCACGTTTATTAGACAAAAATTGCCAAAAACGGCAAAAAAGAAAAAAAATGTATAATCCTTGATATTTTATAATCCTCCTATAGCAGTAAAAATCAATGAACCACAGAAAATGTTAAGCGTATAAAAACTAGTTAGCGGATTTGCTGGTAAATTAATTGTATTAAGCGAGATTGTTCTGTCAACCATTTAACATTTGTCGGCTTAGCGGGTATATATACTATAATTAGTGTAACGAAGTCAACAGAATCGGATTTAAAACATAGAATTTAGTCGTATTGTATTATTTGCGAACAAACGTGCGCAAATCGTCAGAATTATGAGTTAAAGAACTGAGAAATAATAACACCCTTTACTGTCCTCGTAGTTAGGTTTATATCTGGTATATTTATAGTTTATATTTAATTCAAATAGTTTTATTAATTATGTCATTATGTAGTGTTTCATCATACATTTAAAACGTACCAGTACTCTAAAGACTAGTGCTGTTCTTAGCTCCAACATCTAGCGACCATCATTGTGATTCAATTAATATTGATGGCCATCTAATGACCAGTGGACCAATTACAATAGACGTATAATATTTTCATTTAGAAAGTATGTTTAATTTAGATTAGAACTTTTATATAACATTATTCCTCATTATTTTAATTCCACAATATTCACATTGCTCTTAGTATAGTCAGTTCCAAGCAATTTCGACCAATATTTCATATTATAATAGCCAGTTCGTAAAGTTCTACTTTATTTATTACATCTACATTATTCTACTACATTAAGAATTTCTGCTGTAAATACCTAAATATCGGGCAATATGGGCGGGCAGGTGCATACCAAATGTTTATCGCCATAGGCATCATCGATTCTGCCCACAGTTGGCCAAATTTTTGCATCGGGCTTTACAAAGAGCTGAAGAGCAGAAAATGGATTACAATTAGTCAATGCACCACCACTTGATATGGGTTTAATACTTACCGCTGGAAAGGCAGCCTGTTCGCGGGTATAGGGTCGATCCCACTTGTCTGATATCACTTGTGCCTGCGTGTGTGGCGCCATTTTCAATGGATTCACACTCTTGTCCATGCGACCCGCTTCGATTTCTTCAATTTCCGCTCTGATCGAGATCATGGCATCGCAGAAACGATCCAGCTCCTCCTTATCCTCGGATTCCGTCGGTTCAATCATTAATGTGCCTGCCACGGGCCAGGACATGGTCGGAGCGTGGAAGCCATAGTCCATTAGACGCTTAGCCACATCCACAGCCTCAATGTTGGCCGATTTCTTCAGGTCCCGTATGTCGAGTATGAACTCGTGGGCCACAAGCCCCGATGTGGGCGACTTATACAGCGTCTTGTAGTGCTGCTCCAATCGCTTGGACATATAGTTGGCATTGAGAATGGCCACTTGGGTGGCACGTTTCAAGCCACGACTGCCCATGAGCTTGATGTAAGACCAAGATATCGGCAAAATGGCCGAACTGCCGAAAGGAGCGGCTGAGACCACGCCAAAGCTATGCTCCTCACTATCCAGCGGGCTAATGACCGGATGGCCAGGCAGATAGGGTGCGAGATGAGCCTTGACGCCAATGGGACCCATGCCGGGCCCGCCACCGCCATGAGGAATGCAGAAGGTCTTGTGTAGATTCAGATGCGACACATCGCTGCCATAATCGCCAGGACGACAAAGGCCGACTTGGGCATTCATGTTGGCGCCATCGAGGTACACCTGTCCGCCATGTTTGTGTATCAATGTGCAAATGTCTGCCACAGTCTCCTCAAAGACGCCCATGGTCGAGGGATAGGTGATCATTAGGCAGGATAATTCTCGGGCGTGCTCCTCCGCCTTGTCGCGCAAATGTGCCATGTCAATGGAACCATCCGATAAAATGCGTATGGGCTCGACCTTCATGCCGGCCATCTGGGCTGAAGCCGGATTTGTGCCGTGCGCAGAAATGGGTATCAGGCAGATGTTACGATGTCCCTCCCGGCGATGTTCGTGGTAGCTGCGAATGGCACGCAGACCCGCATACTCTCCCTGGGCACCCGAATTGGGTTGGAAGGAGATGTTGTCGTAGCCCGTTATTTCGCACAGATCCCGCTCCAGGTCCTCAAACATCTGATGGAAACCCCTAGCCTGCTCGACCGGCGCAAACGGATGGATATCTGTGAAGTGACGGAACGAGCAGGGCATCATTTCCGTGGTAGAATTGAGCTTCATGGTGCAGGAACCGAGCGGTATCATCGAGTGGACCAGCGAAATGTCCTTGTTCTCCAACTTCTTCATATAGCGTACCATGCGGGACTGTTTAAGTAAATACATAGTGGAGTGAATAGATATGTTATCCAAAAGTAAAAGAACTTACCTCGCTGTGGTACATATTGAAGATGGGATGCTGGAGATAGGGTGAGGTACGCAAGAATTTGGAGTTCTCTATGGAATTCTTGAGCACATCCTTTCTAGCCAGCAATTGCTCCACTGATTGTCCCTTGAATATCCACAATAGATCGTTCACATCCTGCACACCAACCGTCTCATCCAAGGCCACACCTACACTATCATCGGGGAAGTATCGCAAATTAATGCGCTTATGCGTTGCACGCTCCTTTAAGTCTTCGAGCGACAGCTCCCCGCTGAGACGCACATGTAGGGTGTCGAAGAAGTTCTTGTTAAGCACTTGATGTCCTGCGCCCTGCAGACCCGTCTGTAGGGTCAGCGTAAAATGATGAATGCGATTGGCAATGGCCTTTAGTCCCTCCGGTCCATGATAGATGGCATACATGGCCGACATGTTGGCCAGGAGCGCCTGGGCCGTGCAAATATTGCTGGTGGCCTTATCACGTCTGATGTGCTGCTCACGTGTCTGCAGCGCCAGACGATAGGCGTCGTTGCCATCCATGTCACGTGTGACGCCAATCATGCGACCGGGCATCAGTCGCACCAGCTTTTGCTTGCAAGCAAAGAAGCCGGCATGTGGGCCACCATAGCCGAGGGGGACGCCGAGACGCTGGGATGTGCCAATGGCAATATCGGCGCCAAACTCCGCCGGCGGACGCAGCAAAGTCAAAGCCAACAAATCTGTGGCCACCACGACAAGTGTCTAGAAAACAGAAATTCAAGTGAAATTGTTCAAATCACGACTTGACTGTTGTTGACTTTTGAAACTTACGCCATTTTTTTTCGCCAACGCGGCAATGTCCTCAAAGTCCTTCACATCGCCATAGGTGTCCGGATATTGAAGCAATATCGCGGCCAATTCGCGGCTGGCCAAGTCCGCATCCTGTATGGGTCCCACAATGATGTCCAACTCCAAAGCCTCGGCACGCGTCTGCACCACCGACAATGTTTGTGGATGCACCTTATTGGTCATGTAGAGCTTCCGGCGTTTATTGTGCCGTGTTGCCAGGCACATGGCCTCCGCAGCGGCTGTACCCTCATCCAGCAACGAGGCGTTGGCAACATCCAGACCCGTTAGCTCCGACACCAGTGTCTGGTAATTAAGCAAAGACTCCAGACGACCCTGCGCGATTTCCGGCTGATATGGCGTATACTGAGTGGTCCAGCCGGGATTCTCGAAAATGTTACGCACAATCGTGTGGGGAACATGACAATTGTGGTAGCCCATGCCAATGTACGAGCGCCACAGCTGATTCTTCTGAGCAATGTCGCGTATGCGACTTATCAGCTCATGCTCATCTGAAATACGCACGAAAGACAGTCGAGATTAGTGTATTACGATGGGGCAATTAGGTGACCTGCAACGTCTGCCCAAAAAACGAACACACACTCCCTCGACGACAGCGTCAACAACAATCGACACCATCGAAAACAACAACAAGCGATAGCGCATACATACGCGAGTATTTGTGAGGGACCTACGAACCCGTCTATCTTGCGCTTATCAGCGAAAAACACGCCAGGGGGTCGGTCCATATAGGAACAAAGTGTAGTCTATTTTAGGTACTTAGTATGTACTACTACTACTACTCACTTAGTGGCTTGTCCAAATTTAATTCACGTTTCAATTGTATGCTCTGCGGCACGGCCTTCTCCGTCAACTCTGCCAGGGACTAAAGGATTATCGTTGCCATCAAATCGTGCGCAGATATTTCATATTTCCAATCAACTCCTACCTTATACCCCAATGTGTCCAGCATGGCAACCACATCCGTTTTTCTGGGTCCAATATGTCGACTGGGAAAGTCCGACTTGCTGGGAAAGATCACATCCTCCACGGGTACGGTGGCCAGATAGCGACCTTGCTGGTATGAACAGCTCCTAAGCAGAAAGCTGCAACTACGTGCTAAAGCCAAGCGTTGCATTTTCTTGCCGCAAATACTAAGTTTTTCAAAAAACAATTTAAAGGAACCGGACACGTCCGCACAATGCGACCGAGAGTTGAGGACTGTTTGTAAGCATCGCACATTATGGCTGATATAGTGAGGTTCTGACTGCCGAGATCAATATGCCGCCAATTCCAATGTTCCTCTGATAAGCCCGCTTCGATGTTGAGAGTATTCACCGCATAGACAACAGGGTGCACTTGATAAGCAGCTATGGGCTCGGAATTGTACGAGTATATTAAAAGTCTATACATTGAACATGTTGTCAATGGGGGAAATGCTTTTTCTCTTTGCTCGGAAAATTAATCTTTCCTTAAGTGGAAAATTTTAAACACACGAGCTTAAAATAATCCTACGAATCCTACGATTCTATATTCAATGCTAGCAAAACTGAGCAATTCTTATGTGCTTAAACGATCAATAATTTTAATATTTCTCAATTCATAGAATAATAATGTTTATCATTTAAACTCGTATTGGATTTAACATATATTTGGAAATTGATTTATTTGTAAAGGCAAACTATTTACTTGCAATTACTTGCAATAATTATGCAATTATTAAATCTTAACGACTTATTGGTATATTGGTTTTGTATTTACATATATCTATTGCGTTTATCGTGTGTACTATAACTCGAATATCGTACTAATATTGGGGTTTTGTAGACTGAAAAGTACCAAAAAGTTGCAGCTTTTATTCCTTAAGTTCTGATTTGTCGTAAATTTATTTCAAAAAGACAAAATGTTTCATAAATGTATATTTTAGATTAGATATGGCACTGGAGTGGAATTTTAGCCAGTTTTTCGTAAGTTAATCATTAATGTCTCCTTCACAGTGGAATTACAGGAAATCGGGATGATGATGTTATTTAAAAATCTACAAAATATGTCCAATATTTTTGAAGCAATAAATATTTTCATTGCATTTTTCAATTGAAAACAGATTAAAGATTATTATTTAAGGTCGTTCCGGTCAGATATTTAGTGACAGTTTAAGAGACTTATAAAAGCAGATTCCAAAGAAGTTTGTTGTAGTATAAAACATTATTTTCGTATTTGGTATTGGTTTCAATTAATGTATTTAATTAATATTGATATATCAATTGTATCTCTCAAACAAATTTGAAGCGCAATCATTAATGACTACTGATTGGTCTCGGGTAAATGGTTATGATTACTGATTGGTAAAAATGCAATCCAACATATTCAACAAGCATAATCACAAATTACCAGTTAAAATCGTTATCACTTATCGAAATGTCCTGGTGAAGGAACCATTTGATTATAAATTCAGTCCAGTATTTGCTTTCTAGGAAAAAAAAGTTAAAGTCTATTCTAGGGAATTTAGAATAGACTTGTGAAATTATTATCAAATTATTTTCAACCACGAACGACTGACTGCTCAGAATTAGTGGACAACAATTCACATGTTCAAAAGTATTGAAAGCGATGAGTCACATCCGAGGAACTTAATTGATTTTGAAAACTGCCATATAACCAAAAAATAAATTAATTACTTGGCATTCGATATGGAAAACCTATCCAGCTATGCAGTAAATGGAAATCTTTTATTTGTCAATCTTGAAAATCTTTTGCTTTATGAAGCAGAAATCTGCCTGTGATCCTTTTAGAGAGTGCATATTCCCAAGTTGTAATGGAGGTGTGGATATTTTTCGTTTTTTATTTATTAAGATTATAAGTATATTTTAAATCGAATTTAGTTTTAAGTATTTAGCTAAGTAGAATCAAAACAACAATAGCAACAACAACACACCGTCAATATTTGAGTGTCCCCCGCCCCGTTGGCAGACGCTTTAGTACGTAAAGTAGTAAGCAAACATTCAGCTCTAGAAACCAATTAAAATTTGTAAAACTCGCATAAATTAGATGGACAACACAACACGCAAACACAGTCATCGGTGAAATTCCATTTAGTGTAAATTGAAAAGTACCTCAATTAATAGCGCAATTGAAAATTATATTTACCAACATAAATCGTACGATGGTAATTAGTTGCTTATTTACAACAGCCTTACAAACAAAAATAGGTATTTAGTTCAAATCCTACATAGATTTACATACATACTTAGTTACATACATACATACATACATATGTATATAGATAGCTGCAAAAACGTTTTTGGAGCTTAGCAACTTTTTGTTTGCTCTCTCTCTGTCTGTCTCTCTTTCTATCCCATTCTCTTTGTCTCTCGCTTTAATCCGACAATATATATTTAAAGCTCATTAAAAAGTTTTGTACAAATAAACTGCGCAAACATTGTACTATAAGAATTAAACTGTAGGTACATGTAGGTATAATTATTAGATGATTAGATGAATATCATATATAGAAGAACAATGTAATGTAAGCAACATTGTAACTAAAGCGACCTCTATATACTTACATACTTGTATACTTGTATGTACATCAATATTCATTTACTTACATACATATGTTATATATATTTGAAACTTATATAAACTGTAAACTGTATTTTGAAGTTATAGCCAGCCATATAATCAACCTACAAATTTGTTGTTTGAGTACGCAAAATGCTACACCTGCGCCGGCCAAAAACTACTTATAAAAACTAATATAAAATGAAACTAAACTCTAAGTATAATAAAAATGCATTAATTTTAAGACATTTACATAAGCGGTCAGGTATTTAACTTAATTAAGTACAAAGGGGGCAAAAGACCAAAACACAAGACCATTTATACACACACACACACACACACTAACTACTCTCCAAAAAACAACGAAAGCAGCAACAACAAAAATGTATGATTCATTCATTGAGGAAAAAAAGGGGAGGGCTTAAATACTAGGTCTCTATGAGTTGGACGCCTTGTCGTCTTTGCTTTGGAAATGTACTTTAAAAATCGTGTTAGGTATGAGAGGCATTGCATTCAACACTCACACACACACACACACACTCACACATATGTACAAGCAGGCGCATTAAGCTAGGCACACACACACATACATACAGAAACACATGCACACTAACACACTGACAACACAGCAAGCCAGAGCAGACAAAAACCAAATGATGAACCAACAACAAAAAAATAATAAGAAATTTAATTAGCGCAATTTTTTACTAATGACAAAATTTCTACATTTTAATTTCTTTCTCTCTCTCTCTCTGCCTTTGCCTCACTCTCGCGCTGTGTGTGTTTAAACAACAACAACAACAACAATGCATCATATTGTGTCTGTCGCTCGCAAATAAACAACAACAACAACTACAATAATATAATACTCGAATGACACATCACCTGCATCCATAAACACACACACACACACATTTACATTCACACATACACAAAACGCTTTCGCAAAACGCTTTTGTTTGTGTATCTTAATTTGTGTGAAAAAACCCAAACAACAACTACAAATATTGGTTAAACAAACTAAAACTGATTGATTGATCTCATCAAAACAACAACAACAATGATGCTGATGATGGTGACGACAACAACAACAACACACACCAACACACACACACCACTGCTGACCAATGCATCAACACCCCTACACAGCAACAGGAACAGGATCCAACAAATTTGTATATCGCAAATTTGCCGCCACATTTCAAAGAAACTGATCTGGAGGCAATGCTATCGAAATACGGACAAGTTGTTTCGACCAGAATATTGCGTGATCAGCAAATGAATTCAAAGGGTTAGTTATTTCTATAACTTAGTACTATACTCTCGAAATCATTACAATTACATAATTGTTTTTGTAGGTGTTGGCTTTGCGCGCATGGAGAGTCGCGAGAAATGTGAACAGATCATACAGATGTTCAATGGTAACACAATACCGGGTGCCAAAGATCCCCTATTGGTCAAATTCGCCGATGGTGGTCCCAAAAAGAAGAATCTCTTCAAGACGCCCGATCCAAATGCCCGCACGTGGCGTGATGTCTCTGCCGAGGGCATACCCGTCACCTATGACCCGACCTTGCAGCAGAACGGTGTTAGCGTCAATGTCGGTACACCTATTGGTGTGCCCTATTCACGTTTCGGTGCACCACAGGTGGGTGGCTATCCAGTCGCTGGCTCGCAATGGATACCCGGCTATATGATGACACAGCCGATCACTCAGGTAGATGATCAGGTGAGTGCCTGTTACATCTCAAAAGCTATACGCATTTGGGATTTTTTCATAGCACAACTTACTACAGTTCAGGGTTTTTAATTTTATAGATAAATTATACCTCATTATTTGGAAAAATTGTCTTTTATTTCATAATTATGAATAATAATGAAAAACTATTCGAATTCGCTACTGATTCCAAAAAGCCATAGAAACCACCTTAAAATTTGTGTTTGTTAAGATTAACAAATTTGTAGAAGACTAGCAGTTATTAATAGGAAATCTTCTTAGCGTTATGAGATACCTTCAATTTGGTGTTTAATAAGATTAACAACTTTGTAGAAGACTAGCAGCTATTAATGACAAATCTTCTTAGCGTTATTAGATACCTTAGTTTTTTAATAACGCTGTTGAACTGATATAAAAATTCGTTGATATAAAACTAAATTTTCATAGTCTGAGAAAGGCGCTTGCTATGTACACGTATAGTTGCTCCACATCTGCAATTTTACTTAAAACTCTCTCCTTCTGTCTGCCTCAATCTTTCTAGTATATGCAAATGGCTGCTGCTCCACCTCTAGGAGTCACCTCATATAAACCGGAGGCTGTTAATCAGGTGCAACCACGCGGCATTTCAATGATGGTTAGTGGTGAGACGGCTGTGCCATATGGAACAATGATGCCGCAATTGGCAACCCTGCAAATTGGCAACTCTGTAAGTGTTTATTGTTCGATGGGACGATTGCTGCAGCATCTTGTTAAGACCACTCTCTAACCAGACTTCCTTTTTCCAACTACATACATACATACTTACAACTCCACACTCACAAAACTATACTACAACAACAACAATAAAAAATATATATATTTATATACAAACAAATATATGCATACATTAAAAACTGTAACCAAAAGACATATATCTGCAATATATAATCGAGTATTTACGTACTATATTATGTATTTGTATTAACGAAAAAAGAGAAGAACTCTACACCGAACAAAAACTTTGCAAAAGGAAGAATCTCTGTACTCGTACTCTCTGTGTTTGAATGTTGAATATAATTTGTATTCTATCTCTTCTTTTTCCGTTTATTTTTTTGTTTTTTTCGGTTCCTTTATAGAATTTTTCTCCATCGTTACAGTATATTAGTCCAACTTATCCATATTATGCACCACAACCAACTATTATACCAACAATGCCAATGACAGATTCCGAACAGGCTAGCACAGCTGCATCACCCGACGAGGCATACACACAGTATCCACATCAAGCCGCTCCCAAATAGGTCTTCGCGAGGTGAGTGATGTCTCTCGTTCTCTCTCTCTCTCTCTCTCTCTGTCTCTCTCAAACTTTGTCTCTCACACACTGTTACTTCTGTCTGTCTAACTCTCAGTGTCTTGTTGTGTTCTGTGTCCGAGCTGAGCCCAAAATTGAAAAAGCTTTCGGCTCCAGCTACTCTCTTCCAATTAAAGAAAGAAAAAGAACAGTTCAAGTTGCTCTCAATGTCTCCGACGATTATTAACTGTTCAAAACCCGTATTGAAGCTCTTGGGGTTTATCTAATCCACGTGTTTAGTTGACTTGCATATTAGTTGTATGGCTTTGGTAGTAACACCATTAGCGGTGTTCCATTCTTTCGTTTGCCAACACTGTTTTGCATGCGCTTAGCTTTGTGTTATCCCACCTAAAAGAAACATTCATCAATCAATAATTCAACCACAACCCATACCTGTCAACTTGTACTTATTTAGTTGTCTTTCGTTAACGAAACGCATTCACAAATCGAAATCGAAAGATGATTGAGTCATCTTGATTAACACTATTTGGAAAGCTCATAAATTAATCCCTGATCATGTTTTTCGATGCATCGCAATCATTGATCCACCATTTCATTTCACCAGCATCACCCATTCAGACATTCGCACACAATTAAGTCATGATTCGCACTCACACACTCAAACACTCACACTTTGCCACTCGTGCTGATCCGTTTTGTGTGCTGCTTGTTGTTGCTTGCCTGTTTGCTTAAATCTGTTCATTAATGTACGATTTTATATAACTAAAGCATTTCTATTTTTTACTTTCTTTCTTCTTTTATTCTTCTTTATTGCGCTACAACAACAACAACAACATCATCATCAACAACAAAAACTACACTCTATTTCTTATATAGTATAGTTACTAAGCAGTCTAAACACTGGTAATACATACTAGGTAAATATCATCAAGCTTACTTTTCACTTTAAATATTTGTATATGCATGGCGTGGAACAAAATTTATTAATTGAAGGCTTTAAGTGCTAATGGTGGATAATTAAGCTATACATATGTATATATCAGTTTCTGAAAGCGATACTGGGTGGTTCAATTACAGAAGACCATAAACGGGATTAGCTACAAATCATTCCTGTTTTAAAAAAAGAAAGAAGAAAGTTATCATATACAGCAATCTGTTGAATATCTTGATCTTCTCAGCTAAAAAAGCACATGAAGAGCAGCTTAAAAATCAGTATTTATAGAGAAATCAATTGACGAAAATTCCCCCTAAAGCGAAAAATATAATGATACTGACTTCTTGTGGTACTTCTTAAAAAATTTTGGAAATTAGTCATAATCAGACTCTGTCCACCCTAATTACTTATCCCGTTGAATACGTTTATCTGAAGAATTTTCTTTAGAATTTTTCAATCTTAATAAAAGAGAGAACAGCTTTGCTGTGAAATTATATTGTTTTGTTGGATATCAAAGATCTTAACCCAATCGTGTCAACATTATCCCGTGTAAGTAGGATATATTTTGATTGTCCATTTTTAAAGCCTTGTCAACCATTTATTCAGTATCCATTAACATTTTCTTTGTAACGCTTCCAGATATAATATTTTAGTACCACGTTTGACGATGTAGTGGACGAGAGTGGAGCGATGAGCGTTAATAGTTAGGGAGATGAAAAACAACAGCAACAACAACAACCAAGAACAACAATACGAGTGCAGCAGCGGCGGCAACAACATCACGCCCGAAGGCAGTTACATTATGAAGACAACAAACACAGCAACAAAAACAACAACAACAACAGCCGAAAATCAGCAACAACAATAACAGCAACATCAACACCAACAGGCGGATTATGCTGAAAATAACTAAAAATAATGTTAAAAATTAATGTAAACGATGGTGAAGAAGAAGTGAGAAAATGAAACAAGGAGAAATGAAAAATACATAAATAAAATGTAAGCAGAAGAAGAAGAAGAGCAGTGTGAAAGTTAAGAACATGAGCGGTAAAAGTGAAGGAAAGCAAAGACTAAACTTAAATAATAGAAATAGTTATACACACTTAAAAAAACTCTTAACAACAACAAGATGATGATAGGAAAAGCGAAAATATGTATTTACAAATGAAATGAGGAAAGGCAAAAACATACACATACACAACACACACACACAAACACACATAAGAAATGGTGAAATTTTTTGAAGTGCATGCCAATTGTTAAAACGAGCGCAACTTTTAAGTGTAAAAGAGGCAATAACGAATTGCTAAAAATAACACACACACATACACCCACATACTAACTGCAAAAACAACAACTTGAAGAAACAACAATTTGCAAAAGATTTTGAAGATGTAGGAGAAGGAGAATAGAAAAAAGCGGAAACTAGTTAAGTAAAACTTATAATTTAAAATTGCAACAAGAACCTGCATGAAATTGAAATTGAAACCAATCAGAAAATAAAAAACTAAAGCAAGGGCATGTAAATGTTTAAACAAAAACCAAACAAAACAAAAACACAAAAACTATTTTGCTAATTTTGAACTAGCAAGACCTAAAACGGAAACATTTTTGAATTAAAAACCAAAACAAAAACAAAAACGTGTGCAATCTATGTTATAGAACCGAAACAGAGTAAATGAATAAAAATGATTTGATTGCCAATGATCAATGATGAAGATCATGAAGCAACACACACATACTTATAACATTAAGTCAAGCAAAAGTAATTTAAAAACAAAACAAACAATAATAAAAAAAAGAAACACACACTGAGCAGATTGTGAACTTTTTTACCGCAACAGCAACATCTGTTGTTGTCGCCAAAAAAAAAAAAAAAAAAAACTTTTTTAATATTATTTATTTATTTGTTCAATGCAAAAGAAATGCAGCTGTTAAATAAAATACGCTGTGTACCGTAGAGGTAGAAAAGTATAGCTGTTAGAAGTTTAGCAGACATGCTTTCATTTAATTAAATTATTCTGTTTTGAGAAAACCGAAATTGTATGAAGCACAATTTTGCTTTCCATCTCTTCTACATACACATAATGATTTGTATAAATTAATTTTTGATTTCTGCTGCAGTTCTTGGCAACATTTCTTGCACACACACACACATACACCAATACAAACACAAACACACACACACACACACAGCAACTAGATTAACAAACAAAAAAAGTTAAATAAAAACAAAAAATAGGCAACCCCTAAAACTTGTGTGTCAGGTTGCTAAAAAAAAACCTTTAGCATAAGTACTAGCAAAAATGCAGTAAGAAGAAAGAAAACAAAAATGTAGTAGTTTTAGAATTTTAGACATAGAGAACGTGTCGAAGAAAACAGAATAATAAGGAAAACTCTTGTACTAGTTTTTAGCATATTTTTTGTGCTCATCAGTCGATTTAATGAATTTTTTGTAGCTGTCTACAGTTTTTTACGTTTAGTTCTTTTTTAGTGAGTATTTAAACATGAGAGTAAAACGAAAAAGAAAAAAACAAAAACACTAGCATATAGCGTATTTTTGCTGCAGAATGTAGGATTTTGAATTGAAGAAGGTGGAGAAGAAGAGCTGGAAAAAGAAGAAGTAGAAGAAATAGTAGGTACACCACGGCTTGGTAATGGGAAATGAACTTTTTAAGAGTCAGGCAGTTTGAGGCATGCACGAAAAAACTTTATAAAAGGAAAGGAACACAATAGCAAACAAAATGAAAATAAGCAAAGAAAAAAGAAAAGTAGCATTGTAGTTTAGAGACAGACCGACAGACAAGGTGGAACGACATGTGAACACACAAACGCGTGTGTTTAAAATCGTAGTGAAAATGAACGTTTTTTGTATGATGGGAAAACTGCTGAGCAGCAGAAAGAAAGGAAAACACATGTTTTCAATTTGTATTGAATGTAAAGCGCAGCGCAAGCACAGAGCAAAAGTACGGCAGTAGCAGAAATTAACAGAAATAGAAATAGTAACAAAACAAAAAGAATAAAAGCTTAGTTGTTGTTGCAAGACAAAACAAGGCGAAATTAAGTAATTAATGTTAAAAAATAAATTTAAAAATGCAAACCTAGTACATAAGCAACACCACAGAGAACATGATGAAAGAGCAGCAACAGCGGCGGCTTTAAAAAAAGCGCCAGATCTTTAGTCTTAAGTCTTGAGTAGTCCGACAGGTCGCATCAGTGACAGCAAAGCGTTTGAAATTGAAGCCTAACATATTTATTTTCTCTCACAAAAATTATGCATACACCCACACAACATACATACAAACACACATACACACCCTGCATATACCTTGTATGCACTCACCTGTTCGCCAATTGTATTTGTGATTTTTTAAATGAACTTACAATGAAAAAGAGAGTGAGAGAGTGAGAGGAAAACAAATCAGTTGAGAGCATAGATCAACAGCTTAACAGCAAATTAACAGCAAGTTTACAGCAGTCTCCTTGTTGCTTAACAGCAGCCGTTAAATGTCTGTCATGCTGAAACTCTCCTGAAACATTTGCAATCCCAATCAGATCGGTCACTGCTGTTAAGCCAAGCCTCTCTTGTTAAGTTCGACAATTTGTGGCTCATTGAAGATCTCAATGAACAAATTAGGGGAGCATCTCGCTCTCTCAGAGAATATATTCGAATTTCAACTCAAGTCTGCGCACATTCATTACCCAAGAACCCACACAATTCACACTACATCACACCACCAATATACATTCCTGAGCAAAGTCTTTAGTTTTCATATAAAACAGACACTACACAAACACATACATACATATACATATACAAGTCGAGTATATGCGCTGATTTCAAGTGGCGTAACTTTCGCTTTGGCTGAAGCAAAACGCATGCATAACTTAATAATCGATATACGATATACACATACGATAAATACAAAATGAAAACACAACGCCAAAAGTCTTCCTAAGCCTAAACCAAAACAAAATGGAGTGCATGTTTTCTAACAAAGCGAAATATTGTTTGTTTCTTGGTTTTTTTTATAATTTGTTATAATAAATACAGATATAACTTTATCGTAATTTGTTTTAGACTGAATTTTATAAAAAGAAATTGAAACAATAATAAAGGGAAAATGCAGAATATTGATAATTCTGCGCACTCATACACACACATACACACACTAACACAAACAACATCAAGGTCCGCAAAAATAATAGAGAATTAAAAATTAGGGTATGCAAGCGTCAGAAAAATGTGAAAAGATGATGATCATGATGAGAAATTTTGCAAAACATTCCACAGCAAAAAGCGAAAAACAAAACATAATAATTATAACAATAAGGAACATTTGTATACAAAGTGAAATATTATTGTTTATTGAATGCTTTGGACGCTTGCATAGCCTGCATTCGAGCATAAAAATCACAAATACAACAACAACAACTTGAGAAACGTATTTATTCTAAATATGATTTTCGACTATTTCGATCTATCTTCATTTTCCACACAAAGTGCAATTTTCTATATAATTTATTTTCACACAAATCTTCTGAAACTTAAGCAACATTTTTGCGCTGTTTTTTAGGCATTAGAAAAAACAAAAAGAATGTTTAAACAAAAGAGAATTAGTTACTAAGTTAGTTTTAGCAAAAAAAAGAAGTAAATGTTGAAAGAAACATGAAGAAATTTAAATCTAAGCTGCGTAACTTTAGTAGCTTAAATGTTAAGGGAAAAAAAACATGTTGTAGTTGTCAGTGAGGGTAGCGTAAAAAGCAGAGCAACATAGCTGCGAGAAAAAAAAAAACAAACAAAAGAATCCTAGTTGTTAAGATCAAAGCACTTAGTCGTAAGTCTAGAGAACATAAGTAAAGTTGACAGAGATATGATGACGCAGACGAAGATGATAAAGATGATGAAGTTAAAGAAGATGAAGATGATAAGAAGTAGAGATGTGTAGCGGATATAATTTTTAGTTGGTAGACACGCAGATGCGTACATTAGTTGGAGCGAAAATTATGTAGTAGCAAGTACATAGTAGAGGAGTTATTATCTAGTTAGTGAGTGGAGAATGGAGCTGTTTAGCACGAGGAGACAGATTGACTCTCCCAGCTGGTTAGCAAAGTTGAAAGAACGCAAGTTAGGCTTAATTTTTGAGAAAGAGAAACGGAAGAAAACGAGATGAAAACAGTCGATGAATTATTAGCAAGCAAAGTCTTTCTTACAAATTGTACACTATATATGATGATGTATTTGTTAAGTCTGTCTAGATGATTCGTTTACTCTACTATATTTTTTTTTTCATGTGTGTCTTTTAATTAACCAAACAAAACAAAAAAAAAATTGAAGAAAATCTACTTTTACAAACCAAACTTAAAAACGGTTTGTTTGGCTACGTCTCTGTATTTTGTTTTAATTTAAAGCGTTTTATTTTAGTTTTTTAACTAATTTTAAGTAGTTAATTTATTTTTGTCCTAAAAAGAAAAAAATGTTGCGCGAAGACGCTCAAGTGAAGATCAGACGATCAATGAATCCAATCGAGACTTGAACGTCTTCGCTTCAATAATCGGCAAAAGAGCAAATAAAAAAACAAAACAAAAAACAAACGCAAGAAGTAATGTTGAAGTAATTTTTAAAGCAAAATGTCTAGTGCGTAAAATTGAGAGTAACAACAACACGAAAAACTTTGAATAAAAACTAAAACAAAAAAATTAAAGAAATAAATAAAAATCAACTGTATTCGTTTTCTTTATTATTTCTTGATATTGTTTGGACTTTCGTTGCCTCCTCTTTTTGTTTAATTATCTCTTTCTCTCTCTCTTTGTCTCAATTGATTGATTGATTATTCGCGTGTGATTTCTTAGTAGTAAAATTTTTGCTATATATGTATGTATTAAGCTTAATTAATTAGTTGAAACGAACCTAACACAACATAGTTCTCAATGACAAACAACAACATTCTTAAATTAATTGAATTGAATTGTTTTGTAAAGAAGCAAATAATATGCGAAGGGGCTTGCGAGGCGGTGCGGTGTGGTGAGGCGATGGGAAACGTATAAATGAGAAACATTTTTTTAATTAAGCCAATTTAAGGAGATGATGAATATATATATTTTTTTGAAACTTTTTTGACAAAACCAAATAAAAACGACATACAACAAAAAACATAAAGACATAAAAAAAATTAACAAACAAACGGAAGAAAAGGAAAGAACGCGCCCGAATCGTCAGGCAAGGCGAGCGCGGCGAGAAGCAGGAAACAAGCTCATTAAATTTAAACAAATAAAATAAAACAAAAGCAAAACAACAAGAACAAGAATAACAAAAACAACAAACGCGTAAATTAATTTTAAGTAAAACGGTAAAAAGGCAAGCGACAGAAGAAAAAAAAGCAGCAACTTACACTTAAGTAGAAACAAAAAACAAAAAGTAAACCAAAAACAAAACCTAAACCTAAACTGCGCTATCGAGCGCAAAATGTAATGTAAATTTCGCTTGTTGCTATTTTTAAGTTTTAAATCAAAGTCTTTTAAAGAACTTTATTCATTTTCTTACGAACGTTAAATCGAAGACGTGCTTGGGACGCTTTAGCGCGCTAAACTCGAAAGCTCTATCTCTTTGTATAACTCCAAAAACATTTCAACTCTCTGTGTGTGCATTTTTAAGGTATTATTTTTTGCATCAATGTGACGCTTTTAAGCATTTTTTATAAGACAGACGACGACGATGGCGTTGTTTTGTGAAACTACTTAGTAAAAAAAAAAACAAAAAAACTAACAACTAAAGTAAAAACAAAAAATGATGAAAATGGCGAATACTTTGCTATAACTTTCAAATTTATACGCGTACTTTTTGTGCCCTCAACTTTAATGCAAAAAATCATACATTAAAAACCTTTAAAAAAAACTTAATTAAAAAGACATTTGGAGCTAAGGAGATAAAGTTGGAATACAAAAAACAAAAAAAAAAATTAAATGAAAAACATGAAATAAGAGAAAAATTAGTTTAAGCAAACATTTTGCAGCTTTTGTGCTTATTTCGCTTAAGAAAAGTAAGACTAGTTGAAAAGAAGAAACCTACTCTTAAGTAACAAGAAGAACAAAGCAAATCTGAGGAAATCATTGGGCCGACGGCTCATCTGCGTGGCAAACATCGCCCGTACAGCAAACAATGTAACAGAAAATAGCAAAAGATTTAAATGAAGAAAACGAAAACGAAAATGAAAACCACTCTTTACAACTACAAACAATGCTAAAGAGGAAATGCTGTCATCCAAATAAAAACAAAAAAAGAAACTGAACTTTTTCTGAATCAATAAAAGACAAATTGATTTTCTGTAAGAAAACAAAAAAAATATCTGTAGTTTTCCTTCCAAAGATGTAGAAAATTGAAAAGGTTTGTTGGTTCCATCATCGACGTTACTTTTGAGCTATTTAGCTCTGGATTTGAGCTCGCAGAGTCCCATTATTAGCTCTACAAATAGCAGTTCGATTCCACAATTTTTCTTGGAAATTGTTTGACCTGGAGTTGATTGTGAATTCTATTTATTCTATGCCTGATTCATAGATCAAGAATAATATTGTCATTCATTGGCAATTTTGAATGATTTTTCTTATTCTTTGCGACAAACAATATTGTGCTTCACTGGACCTCCCCAAGAGGCAATAGCTTTTACAGAATTGGTAAGTTCCTGTGTCAAAAGTTGTTTCCCTCTGAGAAAGTTGCAAAGATATGCTTTTCGAGTTTCGATATGCTTTTTTAGTTTTTATATTGCGCTCCAAAAATATTCTGCAGGGTGCAAAAGCAGGGTTAAAAACTGGTGCAGAAATACTATTTTGATGCTTTGCTATTGAGGCCTCCAAAGAGATGATGATACAATAGCTTATGGCTTATCAATGAATCGGAAACACCACAAGTGGGGAGGTTCACATTGCAGTTTAATTTTTGAATCAAAAAGTACTCATCATCCGCATCTTAAAAGTTTTTTTCTACATTATCAAATTTTTACACTCTCTCTTGAAAAATTTACTTGAAGTTTAATTGCTATCCATTCCCAAATATATACATATAAGTAGTTTATAGATTTGTTAAGTAAATCTAAATTAAATGTAACGATATTTGTTAAGAAGAACGTGAAGTGATAAATAGATATATTTCAATCTTAAAATGTGAAGTATTAGATAATTTTTCATAGCGTCGAGAAATTTCTAGAGCAGACAAGATTTATGTTTTTCTTATCGCCTTTTGATAAGAAAAATCAGAAGACGTAGTTGATAGATAGGATTTAATATATACTTATAATGTTGAAGCTCGCACTCCCTCCTCTGCGCTTCTCATTGGAAGTACTTAAGTGCTGTCATCAGTATAATTAAACGGTATTAAAGGCCAAGTATGTAAACAACGAGGTATGGGAATTATTTAGCGATCTGAACTCGAATTTCGAATTCGACATACTTATATGAATTTTTTTTTCAGCCTAAAGTCGAATAACTTCATTTTATTTGTTTATGTCAACAAATATTGACTGGAGGAAAATATATAAAAATTTTAACAAGATAGAACGCTACAGTCGGGCAGCCCAACAGTAAATTAGCCTGCACTCTCTACAAAAAAGAAAAAAAAATATATTACTAAAAATTTAATTATTTAAAAAATTTAAATAATTTATTAAATTAATTAAGAAAATTTATTTAATACATAGAAGACATGTTTATGTACAGTTTCACATTTACATCACGTGTCTATGCGTGTTTATATACGTGTATGTATGTAGCAAAAAGTTGAACCAAAGCAGCAACAACAACAACAGATGCGGGCAGCGCTGCAAGCCGAGCATGGGCAGCGATTTTATTTATGGCTATAACTTTCTTCAGAATTGACCTATCATGATGAAACTTGGCATACGGACACATAAGCACTAACTGGACGTAACTATTAAAACTGATTTCAAAATTCCAAGAATTACGGAAGTTATAAAAAACACGAATTGCGGGGGAGTGGGGGGGGGCTGTATCAGAATAAAAAAAATAAACTTGACCTGCCTAGGGCTTAGGGGAACCAGGATACCAAGTTTGGTAATTCTAGCTCTTGTACCTTCTGAGATCCTTGCGCTCATACAGACGGACGGACGGACAGACGGACATGGCTAAATCGACTCGGTTTGTCATCCTGATCAAGAATATATATACTTTGTGGGGTCTGCCACGCCTCCTTCTGTGTGTTACATACATTCGCACAAAGCTAGTATAGCCTTTCACCCTTTGGGTACAGGCTATAAAAATCATCTTATAAGCAAGAAAAGCTTAAGAAGGTGAAATCGAATCAAATTACAATAATACCTAATCAACGCCTCTGACCCCTGTGAAGATATGTTACATAAAAATGTATTTTCATACAATTCTATACTTTTGAAAGTTGTTAAAAACTAACGTATTTATTCATTCAAAAAACATCGTAATTTAAATTCAGAAAAGAAACAAGAAGCAATAATAATTCATTTATTGACTGAGATCTTTGCTTTTAGGTAAATACGGGTACAAGTATGTTTCAATACATAATAATGAAGCGACGCAGCGACGTGGTCCAGTTATTACGAATGTCGGCTATGGTGGTGGAACGGAAAATTCTATTTGAAATGCGCTATGGTGGCAGCAAAATGGACAAAAATTGTCGTCGTTACGGATAAATATCAAGGAAAAATGTTATTAACATACGAATGGGAGCTATTAAATACTGTAAGATCGTTATGAGTTATGGTGTGCGCATTCAATTACAAGACTATTCAGGTATGGAAAGTATTTTAGTATGGAACAAAAAATGCTGTTAGTTATGGAAATTTTTAATGTACATGATTTATTCTTTAACTAGTAATATTCCACTTTTGTTATAAGTTAATGTACTGCTGGTAGACCTCTAAACCAAAACTGTGTTGTGTTCCTCACACTACCTGAAGCAGCAAAAATCCCTCCAATCCTTAGAAGCCGTTGGCCCTAAACCTTGTTGGTTTCCCCATAACCGAACCCAACCCCAGTTTGGACTCCATTCAGAGGAAGCTCGCTTGTATGCCTACACACTTGCTGTGAGTGAGTGCCTGAGTGTGTTTGTGGGCGTGTGTGTGAGGGGGAGGGGGGGGGGGGGGGGGGGGAGCCGGTATAAACCACAAGGATGAACCGAAAAATGTTGACAGGACCAGTTGACAGGCGTTCAGCGTACCGTTTTTGCTGGGAACCTGTTCGTTTGACTTGTTTGATGGTTTTATGAGTGTCAAAACTTGACAGTTTAATAGACATTTTTATGGCAGCAATCGCATTTTCATTGTTATTGTAACTACAGAAGCGTGCCTGTGTGTGTGTGTTGGTACACATTTCAATGAGCCTGCATTGTTGGAGGCTACGCAAACGCACATACACACATACCCACAAAGCCACACAGCGCACCCCCATACTTTCATCTTCCTCTCCATTAAAGACACGCACAGGCGGCTTCCTGTATCGCGCCAAAGCCACAAACTCGGGGGATGCTGTCAACTTGTTGTGGGGGTTGTTGCCGCGCTAACAAAGCCCACAAGCGCACACTACACACACACACGCACACACACACACAAACTCCCATACACAGAAAGGCAAATAAACAGGCCGACCCGGAGGCTGGCTGCAAAACCGGATGCGTGTGTTGGCCCCAGACCCAAACTCTTGATATCCGCAAAAAACAACAACAACAACGATGGCATGCTGACAGCAACAACAATGACGAGCTTTTACATTTGTTTACTTGTTTACCGTTATTTCGTTTCGTGTTTCGCTTTTACAGTTGGGCTACTTTCGCAACATTCTGCGCGCCTGTTCGTATGTTGTTTTTGTACATTTTTACATGTGATTGTTGCCAGCGTTGTATGCGTGACAAGGATGACAAAGATCCTGCAAATCAATTGCAATCCGTGTACCGCGCACACACAAGGCAGAGGTTGATGATAGAAAAGCGCCTTTAATGTAGAAGTTATCTAAGCTCCATCCATATGCATGTAGAGTGTTCGAAATGTCATATTACCTCGATGTTATTAGATCGTTTTTGAGTCGGCTTTTGCAGAAAAGATACATTTCTTGTTTCTAAATGTTGACCATTACCATTTTTTAGGGAATCAATAGTAGTCTCAAGTACTTGCTTACACTTAGCAATACTTGTTAACAGTAGTTTGTAAATCAACCACGAATTTCCACCAATCTCCAAACACTCTGCTTGAATTCACAGACCCGCCAACAGTCATTGTGGTTGGAGTTTCCTGAAAATAATTATAAACTCTATCCCGCCAGCTACAAATATTCGAGTGCCATTTGCATTTATTGAACCCACTCTGTAGTACGGTTCAATTTCGTGACCATCGCATTGCGTTATCATAAATAAGGGCCGCCGAGCAAATAAACGGTAGAAGAAAAAGCCATAAAATCGTCGTACGCCAGCACAGTGTTGAATTCAAACGAAGTTAAGTTTCAGCGCCATTTACAGCAACTGCCGGCCATAAAAGTGTCAGCCAAATAACCTCATAAAACCATCAAAGCAGCCAAACGAACAGGCTCGCAGCAAACGAAGCCCGGCCGTACAATTTATACAGATTTTGCTACAGTTTGAGAGGCCTCTGAAGTAGAGAAATAGAATTTGAAAAACAATCATTTCATATTGCCAACGCGCGCTTATTTCACGCTCTGATTTATTTCGTATCTATGTTGTTACCGCCTCAAGAAACGCATGCAAGCATACACTGTATGTGTGTTATAATTGTTGTTGGTGCACGATTCTGTGTGTGTCTGCGTTTTAAAACTTAACTGGTCCTAACTACGCGCGTCGCGCAGTAACTGTCAAACTGTGCACTTTATGATAAAATGGAATCGCTAATTGTATTGATGTAATTGTTAACTGTTATACGTTAATGTTGATTTCGTTTTCGTTTTACCGTTGCATTGTCTCAAGCAGTTGCAAGTCTACAGAGCTTCCACAATGGTGTTGATTCAGTGTAAAAAAGAAAACGGAAATGGTCGTGGAAACAAGGAAAACTGTCGCGTTTGCCAAACCTTTAACAAATTATAGCTACAGGGAACCGAACTAAACAAAATTCATACAAAAATTATATCGAGACCGTCCGGCAATGCGCCTCACTTGCCGCCAAAGCCACCCATCAGATTCCCCAGTCCGCCCAGACCTCCCGCCGCTCCTTGTTGCAACTGACGCATCATGTTTTGCAATCCACCGACGCCGCCCATTTGTTGCAGCATGCGCGGATCCATCATTTTGGCCATCTGTTGGTTGAGCTTTGCCATTTGTGTGGGGTTCACGTTTTTCGTCATATCGCCCTGCTTGAACAGTCCTTTGACGCCACCCATTTTCTTGACAACGGCCGCAAATTTCGTGTAATGAGCTATCAATTCCTTCACCTCTCGCTCAATGACGCCCGCTCCTTGGGCCACACGCACACAACGCGTCGGCTGCTTGCTAAAAAGCTTTGCTCCGTCACGATTATCCAACTCACTGTCCGACATACTGTCCATCATGGTCATCATGCGCTTGATGCGTGCCATGGACTCCTGTTCGCCGCCCTTTGTCATAAAATCTTGCGAGAAACCTGGTATCATGTTCATTATCTGCGAGAAGGGGCCCATCTTCATGATATTCTGGAACTGTTCGTACATGTCGCGTATTGTGAAATGGCCGTGCTTGATCTTCTCCAGCAGTTCTTCATTTCCGTCCAGCTTCAGCTCATTCACCTGCAGGCGAACACAGTATTAATAAAACTTTGCACATAATGCACCACTTCATGGCAATCTTACCTTATCTATCAGACCCTCAATGTCACCCATGCCGAGCAACTTGCTGACAAAGGGTTTCGTTTTGAAGGGCTCCAAGTCGTCGATATGTTCGCCTGTGCCGATGAAGATAATGGGCGATTGTGTAGCTGCCACCGCTGACAGTGCACCTCCACCTTTAGCATGACCATCAAGTTTTGTTATGATGACCGAACCAATGTCTACTTTGTCTTTGAAACCCTTGGCCTGTGCCTCGCAAGCCTGTCCGATTGAGGCGTCCATCACGAAGATAATATTATCGGGGCTTACAGCATTAGCCACCGCCAACATTTCCTCGAACAGCGACTCCTCCTGCTTGTGTCGTCCTGACGTATCTACTATGATCATCTCGAAACCTTCGCGCTTGAACATATCGACACCTTCTTGGGCAATGACCACCGGATCTATTTCTGTGTAACTTCCATAAAAGGGTATACGGGCCTTGGTCGCATTCTGCTTGATCTGATCGTAAGCACCGGCACGGAAGGTATCCGCGCACACAAGGCACGATTTCCAATTGCGCTTTTGGTAGTGATAGGCTAGCTTGGTGCAAGTCGTGGTCTTTCCTGAGCCCTGAAACAAACACAGACGGAGTTGATGAATAAGTATACACAAAGAGACTCGGTTTGCACCTACCTGGAGGCCTACAAACATAATAACGTTGGCTTTGCCTTTGACCGGTTGGTAAGGCTTCACACCAGGATCTACAAGCTTAATCAGCTCCTTGAATACTGCAGACTGTATCATGCGACGTTTGTTCAGACCGCCAGCCATTTCATCGAAATCGATGACGGCCCGCACATTCTCGCGCAGCTGCTTCACCAGCCGTATGTTTACATCGGCCTCCAGCAACGCTGCGCAAATCTCCTTCAGCATAGCATTAAGCGCCTCTTCATTGATGACTGTGGCTTTGCTGAGCGAATGCAGCGCCGTGGTTATCTTACGCCCCAAATCCGCTAATACCATCTTGAGTTCGGGTCAGTGTGTGTACGAGTGGCGTTAACTCCTTTGCTCCGGCTTGCAGTTCAATTTTGTTGCGATATTTGCGAAAAAACACATACGAATTTTCAAGAGTTTTGCGTTTAGTTTTCCCTTTGTATGACACGTCGATGTTGTAGAAGAGGAAGACAAACTGTCAGTCAAAACACGCGTGCAGCTGTCAAAATAGTCCAGCTGATCGCGGACATGCACTTTTTGGAAAGAAGAAGCACGTTTTGTTTTGGATTTGAATTTACGCGCACACTTTTGTAGTTTTATTTAAGAAATGGGCGTTAAAGACCTGTGGACAGTTTTAACGCCACATGCCGTTCGCAAACCCATTTCAGAGCTGCGCGGCAAAAAAGTGGCCATCGACTTGGCGGGCTGGGTGTGTGAAAGCTTAAATGTTGTAGACTATTTTGTTCATCCGCGGCACCATTTAAAGTAAATCCAAATAAGTATAAAGTTAAGAATTGAACTGTATGATTGTCTGTCTTATAGAAATTTGTTCTTTCGCACCTGCTATCTGATATGGGAGCAGGTTATTCCTGTCTTCGTGCTAGAGGGCGTAGCGCCCAAGCTGAAGAGCCAAGTTATAGCCAAACGAAATGAGATGCAATTCCGAGGCGTGCGTCCAAAGGAAAAGGATGCGTCTGCTCCATCATCATCACAAGCTACCGGAAAAGCAGATAAAGGCCGCACTCGTTTCAATCATGTGCTCAAACAGTGCGAAACCCTGTTGCTAGCCATGGGAATACAATGCGTTAAAGGACCCGGCGAGGCAGAGGCCTACTGCGCCTTTCTGAATAAGCACGGCGTGAGTACAGCTTCCTTTCGATGCAGAGAATGCAGAAATTAAAAGAACAACCGAATTAGCTAGTTGATGGCGTCATTAGTCAGGACTCTGACTGCTTTGCCTATGGAGCTGTGCGTGTATATCGGAACTTTTCAGTTTCAACCCAAGGCGCTCAGGCTGCCTCTGGTGGTGCGGTGGATATCTACGATATGCGGGAAATTTGCACCACAATGGGTAAGTAATACCAATCTTATAACTACCCCACTACTTATCGCTCCTACTCCCATGCAGACTTTGGCCAACACAAGGTTATTGTAATGGGATTGCTATGTGGCTGCGACTATTGTCCGGATGGCATCGGTGGCGTTGGCAAGGACGGCGTTTTGAAACTGTTCAACAAATACAAAGAGACGGAAATCTTGGCCCAGTAATGAACAAAGACGTGGACAAGTCAAGGACTATTTATATTTGTTAATCTTTTTTGCAGCATTCGCACTTGGCGTCAACAAATTGAAAAATACAATGCACTAGAGGTGCGTGTGGACGACAAATCCATTTGCAGCAACTGTGGTCACATGGGACGCACCCAAAGTCACACCAAGAGTGGCTGCGGGGTCTGCCGCACACATCGCGGATGTGATGAAAGCTTGTGGAAGTAAGTAAGTAAAATATCTGCGAAAGCAAACTTTGCTCATTAACCGCACTCATGACATGTAGGGAGCAACGTTTGTCCATTAAAGCGGAACTCGCGCTACGCAAAAAGGCACTAACGGTAGAGGACTTTCCAAACGAGGAAATCATTGCTGAATTTTTGACTGATCCTCCAGTCGTACCAAACTTGAATCTCAATTGGAGCAAACCGAACATTGTGAAGTTTATTAAGCAGATCGGCCATTTGCTGCAATGGCCCGAAATATACTGCTTTCAAAAGTTCTTCCCCATTTTAACACGTTGGCAGGTGCAGCAGCGAGATAAAGGCGAAAGCTTGGTAGAACCACTGGAGATTATAAAAAAACGTACTGTCAAGGGAGTTGCCAGTTTGGAGCTGCGTTGGCATGATGTCAGTGGCTGCTTTACTGGCCTAATTCCGGATGAACAAATCGCGGAATTTGAATTGGAGCATCCAAAGGGTGTGGAAGAGCTATACTACACAATCGAACCATTAAGCATGCTCGAAGTGGCATATCCGGACTTGGTTTCCGCATTCTTAAAGTCAAAGGAGAAACCACCAAAGAAGTCAGCGACCAGAAAGAAAAAAAACAAAACAGATGTGCCACTCAGTGCGCTTGAGAATCTTGAGGACCTGGTAAAGGCAAGTGACGCTATTTGCGAGGTTGCAACCAAACCTAGACGTGGCAGGAAAAAGGCAGAAGTTGGACAATCGAGAGAAGGCATACAAAAAATAAATAAATTTTTAAAGCATAAAGAAAATACGCCGTTGAAGATACAGCCACGCAACACCCTTCGTCAACAATGTTCCACACCCATAACCAAATGCCTGCCCTCTGATCTAGACAGTGATTGCGACGCAGATTTCAATATGTCCGATATTGTGAATGGCATTATATCCAATCCAAATGCATTGCCAGTTGTGACCAAACATGGTGATCATAATTTGCACTACGAGCCCCTGGATGAGGATCTTAGCATGCGCCTGGCCCAGCTTAGTTTGCTGGATAAAAACGAATCAATTAGATCGCAGCATTTTCAGATGCAGATGCCACTTGTGGATGACTCGGACTTAATGCTGCAAAAGCGTCGGAATCAGTCAATACAGGAAACGCAGCCACAGACAAAGCGTCTCTCCCTCGACGATAGTTTTGATTTGCTAGTCAAGGGGGACCTAAAACGGGTGCCACATTTGCTGCAGCAACGCACACCAATCAAAACACCAGTGGAACGCTTCAAACGCCAACATCGTCTGTCGACATCATACAAAAATACGCCAAAGCAAAGCCCAAAAAATGTCAGCTACTTTTTCGATAATATCGATAATGAAGGAGTTGATGCATTTGAGCAGCTAATGGACGTAAGCATGGGTCACAATGAACTGGTAGTCATTAGTGACAGTGATTAGCGTAAAGCTTGGAATTTTAACTTTTCTAAGGATGTTTTTAAATTGCTTCTGGAGATTTTGTCTTCTGAAGCGACTAAGAACATTATTTTCGGAAGAACTGTTTAATTTGTTCATTCATTCTTAGTATTCATTAACTTAATGGACATCACACCCATCATTAGAATACATTCGGACACTTACAATCAGAGATAACATCATATATTAATAAATGGAATATTCTTTTGTTACTACAACAGGTTGGGATGGCTGTATCGCTATGCAATTTATTGTCGTCTGCAAGACAAGCACACTTTTCCAATACAAAGTAAAATTTTAAAATAAAAAAACCTAAGCTTAAATCTGACTTAATGACAAATCACAATTCAAAATAACGCAAGGCAAAGGCGTTGGCATTGGCCAATGCTTTCTCCAATTGCTCCTCAAATTGATTCGTCACTTTGCGTCCCTTCATGTTGCAGACAGCCTGCGCATCCTGGCCCTTGGGCGCAGAGACTTGTGCCTTGAAGGTGGCGGCGAATGATTGCAGCCATTGTTCCGCGTTGAACTGTCCACTGATAAATTGCTGCAGAAAAGGGAAACAACAACAAAAAATTTGTTGAAATTGCGTTGATTGAGTGGACCAAGGTAATGTTCGAACCTGTGGCACACAGCAGCGCGCCTTCACAATGTTATCACACATGCTAACAACCAAAATAGGTCGATCTGTGCACAATTTGGTGGCACGCTGCAGCGGAATCTCCTCCAACAAAGCTGAGCTTGAGATGTAGTGCAAAATAAAAGGATGTGTGGACAGTGGCTTCTCCTGCAACAGAGTGCGCATTTCCACCTCGACGAACTCCCTGCAAGCGAAGGTATTACATAATCCTGCATACATTAATATATTTTATAATGGAACCCACTTGAGAGTTGTACGCGAGCTCTCCTTGAGCTTGCGCAGCATTTCGTTGATACTATCCAGCGTGTCTAACTTGAAGGCGTAAGGAAGTTTTATGTCCGTGTGCAGCATATTATGGCGTATGGTTTGCAGCTCAACCTCCGTGGCATTCGTTAGCTTGTCAGTCTTAAACTGTTGCTCCAAGAGGTCCACACGATGGCGCAACAAAGCGGCCGTCTTGAGTACCTAAAATCAGAAAAGGACGTCAGTTTATTAGGATCAGCAATAAATTAGTAGTTGGCTCACATTTTCAGCTGCGCGTCCGGCTACTGCGGTGAAGGCGTAACGAGCACGATTGGTTTGCTTGAGGTTTACGATACAGAAGTACGACAGCTCCTTAGTGTTGGTCACATGTGTGCCACAGCAGAGCTCCTTGGAGCTGAGTTGCAACTCAGGACATTGAACATTAACCAAACGTAGTCCGTGCTCTGGATACACCTCTCCAGGCACCATTGTTATATCATTTTGTTGCAAAACATCGGCGGCTGTTAAATTTTCCACTTGAACGGGCGTTCCAGAGCAAATAGCACGGCTAATAGAAAGGGGTATCAGTTTTAGCCATGAATAACCATACATATTATTTTATATTAAAGGATTACTGAACGGAATCGCTATTCCTTATTGCAAAAATGTACTTTAAATAAAAAACAATGTGAAATAATATAATCAAGCCTGCTCTCAATTCAATCAAGCTGAATACCTTTTTAGAACCTTAAACTAATCAATGAATACTCCAAATATCTCTAAGTTTATATGCACGTACTTGATTAGATCTTCGATTTGCTCCACATCTCCTTTTTGTATTCGCTTGCCTAGCAATCCAACCTCCAGTTTGCATTGCTCGCTCGTGACAGCACTTGACACCTGGTATGTAACCTTGTTAAAGAGACCACGTATGGCACCATTAAGCAAATGCGTTGCTACAAGCAGATAGAGGAGCTATTGAGCTGTTTATACAATTTATTGTAATGCCGCACTCACCCGTATGATGGCAGGTATTCATGTGTCGGTGTGTAGGATCTACGCGCAACTCCACCTCGTCACCCACTGATAACTCAAAGGCATCGCTTGGCACGGATAAACGACACACATGAACCACACAATCATTCAAGTGCTTCACGCAGATCACATCTAGTTCGTAGACTATACTCGCAACTCTTTTGGCACAAACGAGCAGCTTGCCCGTGTCCGACTGTTGGCCACCGGACTCGTAGTAGAAATTGCTGGCCGCTGTCACAATGGAGAGCGTATCAGTGGGTTCGTGGAGACGACTGCCCAGAGTTCGCGACACCTCGGCATCATTATGCAGCATGCCCAGCACCTTGGTACGCAGGTGGGGTATCTCGTAGGTTTGATTTTCTGCATCGTAACTGTATACGTATTTGTGACTGTTGTCTGTTGCTGCGAGCTGGCCTGTAAGATGCGCCTGCGCCTCCACAATCCGTTTTTGCAACACCCTGTGGGCTTCGTTGTTGATTCCGCTGCCTCCAGTTCTCTGCGGGTCCTTGGCCTTAAGCTTGGCTAGCGACACCTCAGCTCGATACCGTTCAAGATCGCAATTCATGTTCTCTAATTCGGCTAGCTTTAAGAAACTCTGCTCGGTCAGACCATACGTGTCGGTTAACTTGTACAGAAATTCGCCGGGTATGGTGTTATTCGGAAACTTGGAACGTTGTACTTGAAACTCTCGATAGGCAGGCACGAAGCCTGGGCACTCCATAAGGTCTATATCGTCGAGATTTGGAAATTCGGTGAGCACCTCGGCGAATGCCTTCGATGAGCTCTCACGTAGGTTTTTGTATACCTCTTGTTCATGTGCGATAAGCTCAATGACTGCTTGCTGTTTGGCAGACATCTCCGGATAAGCCTCGCCGAGTGTTTCCACAACAATGGGCACCAGTTGGGAGAGCAGATTTTCATGGACGAACACATGTTCTGATATATTGAGGGCCTTGCGCAGCACGCGTCGCAATTTCTGACTATATGTCCAACTATTAAAAGAACAAAAAATTTTTTTAGGGGCCTATACATACTTCTGATCCGGTAACATCCCATCAGCAAGGCAGGCAGTCACCATGCGCGCATGATCCGCGAGTATTCTGTAGCTAGTGTCAAGCAGGGCATTATTTGTGGCATCGGGGTAGCTGCCCGCATAGGCAGGCGCTTTTGAAAACTGAAACAAGCAAAGACCCAATTAAATAAGATTGGACAGTTGGCAACAACCTGCAACTTACACTCTGTATGCCATCGAAAAGTGGTGTGAAGATGTCGGTATCATAGTTAGAGGATTTATTTTGCAGCAATGCCGCAAGGCGCTCAAATCCCATGCCCGTGTCTACATGCTTTGAAGGTAGTTGAGTTATGCCTCCATCAGCGTTGCTATAGTAATGTAAAGATATTGCCTTATGTAGTTTCTTAAATATCGCGTGCTTACCGATTGTATTGTATGAATACCAGATTCCAGAGCTCTGTGAGATCAGCACGGCCCGCATTGACTAATTTGGCGCGCTCGTTTACATTGCCTAACTGAGGTCTATGATCGATATGTATTTCTGTACAGGGGCCACAGGGACCAGTGGGGCCCATTTCCCAGAAATTATCCTTACAGCCGAAGGGCAAAATCCGTTCGGCAGGGAAGCTGAAAAATAAACGACATGTATAATGAAAAGTATAGTTCGGTAAATTTTTTTAACTACCCCAGGCTGCGCCATATCTCAAAGCATTCCATATCAGCTGGTATGCCAAGCAGATTGTCACCGGCAAAATAGGTTACATATAACCGCGCCGGATCGATGTTGTAAGGACCTCTCAGAAGCTCCAGCGCCATTTCACAAGCTTCTCGCTGCAAGTTCGAGAAGGAAATATAAAAAAAACCCGAATCTATGTGATATTGGGACGCACTTTGAAGTAATCACCAAACGACCAATTTCCCAGCATCTCAAAGAACGTGTGGTGATAGCCATCTTCGCCCACCACTGACAAATCATTGTGTTTTCCGCCAACCCTCACACATTTTTGAGAGTTCACAACACGTTTGTACGGCGGCACTGCCGTCCCCAGAAACACCGATTTGAACTGCAACGAAAAGTCAACAATGAAATACTTTTTAGATGACCTAGGTTATGTTGTTGTGTTATGTACCTGGTTCATGCCCGCATTGACAAACGCCACTGTGGGATCACAAAACGGCACCACCGGACTGGAGCGCACGAATTTGTGGTCATGGTTGACGGTAAAAAAATCAATGAATGTTTTCCGTATTTCACGCGCCGTTAGCACGCGTTGCAGCTGTTTGGCTGAATTGTACATGCCAATTCCAATGATTTTTTAATTGCAGAGGCACAAACGCCGCCGACGGAACCGGCAATTAAACAACACCACACAGAGGGCACAGAGAGACCAGCTGATTGCATTGCTATTCTCAACCCATGCTACCGTACTTTGCCATTCACGCAGGTTCAAATAAGCCTGCAAAAGGAAAGAAGAAGAGAATTCTATTTTCTACTGGCGCAACAGCTGCACATATATTATATGGGTAATTCGGTTATAGGAGCGACGACAAAGAATATGCTAAAAACAAAATTGCTCAGTGCTGTGTGAAAACAAAGAAAGTTCTTCAAAATTAACACAATGCAAATTGTGAAGTGATAGCAAATTACGAAATCTTTAGTCAGTTTGAACTTTGACACGCACACGCACCGTTTCGGCTTTCACTTTTAACGCATATAACCAAAAACGGCAGCAATACGACGCAGTTGACGAAAGCAGCAACGACAGCAACAACGACCACGACACCTTGGCAAAGTTCAAGACTCCAGAGAGACGACGAAATAGCTTCAAGCAACGTAGGATTATGGCGACAAAACGACGACCTTTGCGACCAAATCTTTCTGGTGCTCAAAGCGGATCCAACATGAACTTTCGACCTGGCGGTCCAGATATAACAAGGTCCGAGGCGCGGGGAACTCGACCAACCGCTGCACCCACTAGCATACGCGAAATTCTGGTCATGGGCGTTATACATTTATGCAAAAAAACCATATTCTTCAATACTGATCTGAAAGTGGCGCTCTATTTGGGCAGCCTATTTCTTATATCGCTAATAGGCGACTTCTTGCCCTTTCCAAAGACTTACTTTGCTCGCTCCGATAATCTTTTTAACATGTACTTCGTGAAAGTTGGCTGGGGCTGGACATTGCTGTTTACTGTACCATTTTTGGTGCTCACCGCCCTCACGCTCAGTTGTGGGGATATGAAGAATATGCTGCGGCATCATTTCCCACGCATATTCATAGCCACGTTCTTTTGGTTTTTCTGGACAAAAATATTTAATATTATCGAGACCTCCTATGGTCGATGCACGGTCAGAGGTCAGATTGTGAAAACAATTTTCTTTTTAAATGAAAGCCTAATAACTGTTATATTGTTTCAGGTTTCCAAACCAAGTCTGGTTGTCTAAAGGCTGGCCACCTGTGGCACGGTTTCGACATCTCTGGACATGCTTTCATACTGATACACTCTAGTCTGGTGCTCATCGAGGAGGCACGTCCCATCATTAAGTGGGAAACGATAAAGGAGCACATACGCAATGAGCTGCATAATCGAAGCGTCAAGGAAAACACTGGAACCAATCCGCTGCGCGCCCTCAACGACGAACAAATGCGTACCCTTAAGTTTCTCTACACCCGCCTCACGCCCATCATAAGGACGTTGTTCATAGGAATGGCTGCTCTGCAGCTCCTTTGGGACATAATGCTTGTCGGCACGATGCTTTACTATCATCGAATGATCGAGAAAGTCATTAGTGGAATTATAGCCATACTTACGTGGTATTTTACGTATCGCTTTTGGTATCCAACGCCTGGCTTGTTGCCCGACGCTGCTGGCAATGGTTTCTTTCATTACCAGCGCGACAGCTTTGCTTTTAAACGTCCCACGCATTTACCGGGCTGCAGTGCAGCTCCATCGAGCTCTGGCAGTGGCGTCAGAGCGAATCCGAATGGCACCAGCGGCACTAGGATACCGGGCAAGGGAGGATTGGCTGGAAGCCCCGGAGGAGCCGGCATCAATACGCAGCAAATACCCACCTTCATGGGCATGCCGTTGTTCACTAATGCAAAAGCCGCCAGTGCGGCGGCTAATTTATTGCAGACGCAGCAACAACAACCACAACACCAGGAAACGGGCGTCGACAGTTGAATCTGAGACTGTATGGCCCACAAAGGCGATATATTGCAAGGAATTGATATTTGGTTCATATTTTTTGGGGTAGTAGCTAGAATACCTAAATCATAATCTAACTTTTGATATATACGTGTGTATATTTATATGGGAGCAGCAGGAGGCTTGTTATTTCGATTCGTTCATAGTTCATAGTGCAATTCAAAGTGCCCTCGACGCTCTCTTTGTTTAACGAATTTTATTTTAAATTTTAACGAATAACTTATGAGGTTCTCATGTTTGTGTTTGCATGTGCCCGCCCAACGAATTGTTGTTCAACTTTTATAATTTATTAAACAATAATTGTTAACAATTATGCCACTTTCATGTATATACTTAAAGTACATATCTATAGCCGTGTCCTACTTATGCGCAAAGGCAGCGAACATGGCCATCCCAATGAATCCGGCCCCGGCACCAATTTTGTAATTGCCCGGTGTCTTGGCCCACATATCCTTCAGGATCTCGAAATTACTAGGCATCAGTTTGTGATAGGAAGCCCGACGCTTAAAGCGCAAAAAGTAGCTCTCCACCTGTGGCAACTTTCCATAGCTCCAGTAGTAGTTCTCGAATCCCAGTTGGTACAATCGGTGCAGCAACAGACCCAGGCTGATGTCGGCCAGCGTAAGGTCGTCGCTCACTAGCCAGTCGTGGCGTCGTGCCTGCTTCGTCAGCTCCTGCTCCACATAGAGCAGCACGTGCTTTACGGCGTCTAGGACTCGTTGGAACTCCTCTCGTGAGTAGACAATATCCTTGCGTCGCTGCTGTAGCTTCAACTTCTGCTCCAATGCCGCCTTTTTCGTGTCCAGCTCATCAACGGAGCGTTTCAGCAACTCCAAAACCTTTTCATTATTACCTGCCAGCAACGTGGAAAAAGGTTAGTCTGGTTAGATTTGATAGATCAACTAATTCATCACACACTCAGGCAGGATTTGCGCACGGGTCCAATAAAGGGTGGCTTGGGGGCCAGTTTCAGATCGTCGTGTATAAATGAACCCAAACTCAATGCTCCGACAGGCAGGCGTCCTAGAGCCCGCTCATAGAGCAGCACTTGATCGAACACGGGCGAGTTCGCATCCTGTGGTTTCAACAGCGGGTGGTTCTCTAAAATTTCCATTTCCATGGTATTATATGTATGTATTGAAGTTTTAAATATTTCGCACATACCTCCACGAAACTTGCTCTCCAAGTAGTTTATTATGTGCATGGAGTCTGGAACAACGAAGGCGCCATCCTGCAGTACAGGCACATCGCCTTTGGGATTCAAATTAAGGAACCAACTGGAGTATTGTTCGCCATTGGAAAGATCGACAATGTATGGAATAAAGTCGATGTTTTTCTCATACAGTACCAATAGCACCTAATTTACGAATAAGATAGAAGAGTAGCTATAAATGGAATGGTACTATATGTATATTCATATTCGACTCTTATACAGCTTTCGATTAGTCAGAAAAAATGAGTAATATGTATATATGCGGATGTGACCTGATCTGACCACAGATACAACGCCTAATCATTTATCCAGAGTTAAACAAACAAAACTGTTATTTCATTTAACTAACTAATAAATAAAGTTGTTTATAGCTTTTGCTCTAAATAACTTTACTTTGAACAAAACATTTCTGAAACAGTGAATTTATGCTCTCTTAAAGAGATTTATCATAAGATCTATTTGGACGACAACTCATATTTATTTATTTATTGTTAAGCAATGCATGTGATGCGAAGTCTAAACAAGTCTAAGTCTCCACAGCCGGCGAAAACTGCCTTTTAATTTTGTTACTATTCAGCAACCTATCCCTATATATTTATTTTACGTCACAGTTATTTTTGTTAATTATATTAACACCTGCGGCAAGCCGAACAATGACAACAATATTGATGATCCAAAGCTAAAAATCTAAAATCTAATAACGAGCACATTTATTTGATAAAAAGTTGCGCTGCATCTGCTCGTCAAGCTCGATTGCATTCGTTGTGCATTGAACTCGAATGGACCGACCCGCCGAGAGTTATTTCAATCCAATCAATCGGGTGGGCGGCTGACGGAGCACTCATCATTATCATCATCACCATCATCATTAACAGATCATCATCACTATGTAAACAAACGTCGAGCTCTAACACTTATGACAACGATTTGTGTTGTAATGTCGCGCGATTTGCTTCGCTTCATACGAGTACATTAAATAATTTTGTGTGCAAGCAAATTGAATATAAATTGCATTATTTTCGAAATCACGTGATTAAAATTGGTCACTCACTTTTTGCGAGTAGAAGTTGTATGGATGAAAAAAGAGCACTAGTTTGTTGTCCTGGAAGGTGGGCGCCTTGAAATCCTGCAGGGTGGGCGGTGCCGATGCAATTTCTTTGGTTTGGTCGCTCATTTTAAGATTTCACTAAATTAAATTTTGTTTTTCTTATTTGTGCTACCGAAATGTATTATCTTTTATCTTTATCTCACTCTTTCCCACAGTAGTCGATAGTATTTTAATTTGGCGAACGTTTTTTTTATCACATGCTTCGCACAACAACAATAGCGACAATTGCAAAAACCGTTACCGCGTGCTGCATGAACTCGACCCAAAAGCCGTTTAGACACGAGAACTGCCTGAGGGCAACTGGCCAGCCGTCTAGCCTGACTAACTACGATTGCGGTCGTAGTACAAACATTCGACACGGTAGAGAATAAAGTAACTGAAGCTACAATGCAGAGCGGAGCTTCGCAGTTCGCACTGCCCCGGCTAAGCTTCCAAATGTTATTGTTTTGTTGTAGTTATATTGTGGTTTTCTTTTCTGGGGCTGAGATCATTACTCAGCTAGGGGAGTTTATTTGCGTCAGTCTTCGACCTAAGCGAATCAGATCTAAATATGAATATAAATTATTGTTCACTAACTAACTTGGTGTGCTCGCTCTGTTTGGTTTTCATACTCATATCAGTGTTTGCTGTATTATCGCCATTGCGCTTAATTTAATTTAGCGTAAACAAAGTTTATCTTTGGGTTTGGAGATTTTCTTTTCAAACTTCTTATCAGCCAGAATGTTGCCATAGTCTGCCCCACTTCGAGCAAGCAAATATTCTTAACTGTCATGTGTAAGTTCAAAGAAGTTGCGTTTGTGACTCATTGCAAAAAATATAAAACTATATTTATAATATACGAAGATTATGATTTAATTGATGAATTCATAATTTGTATATTCGTTATTTTAAATTTAAAATGCGCGCCACTGACCTACAATGTGATTGTCAAAAATACAACGGCCGTATATAAGCTACACTTCTGCAAAGAAGAAGAGGTAAACAAACCTTCCAGTTGGAAGTTCGAGAAGATAACTTTTGGCCTTTTTGTCCAATAAATCCTTGACTTAATCGTATAAGAAGGAAAAATCAATTGGTCAATTATAAAGAGTCACTGTAAAAGTCCTCTCAGATATGCTGCAAATTACAAAACAAATCGTATGTAAGTCGCCAAAACTCAATTTGGTTGCCGCACCGAGCTTGGCTGGAAGTGGAGTCCAAAGTACCATGCACAATACGGCAACGATTAGAAATCTACATCAAAAGAACAACAACAACCACTACGCTAGTAAACTTGTTAGCCACAATCTGTGCCATAAACGCCTGTCCAGCAGTGCCAGTCAAAGTTCGAACGTCGTCAGCATGAAACGCTTAACAGGAAAAGTGGCGGTGGTCACAGCCTCGACCGATGGTATTGGGTTTGCAATTGCCAAACGCCTGGCAGAGGATGGAGCGTCTGTGGTCATTAGCAGTCGTAAGCAGAAAAACGTTGACAACGCCCTTGCCGAGCTACGAAAGTTGAATCTCAATGTGCACGGCCTGCAGTGCCATGTGAGTGAGGCGGCGGACCGTAAGCAACTATTCCAAGAGACCATTAGCAAGTACGGCAAACTGAATATACTCGTAAGCAATGCAGCCGCAAATCCCGCTGTTGGTGGTGTTTTGGATTGCGATGAGAAGGTTTGGGACAAAATATTCGATGTCAATGTGAAGAGTTCGTACTTGCTAGCCAAGGAAGCGCTGCCCTTTCTTCGCCAGCAGCAGGGCTCCAGCATAGTATTTGTGTCTTCTATTGCCGGATACGATGCTTTTGAGGTAAGATGGCGCAATCTACTCTTCGAGTCAGTTTTGTTGTACATATTATTTTTATAGCTGTTGGGTGCCTATTCGGTGAGTAAAACGGCATTAATTGGTCTGACCAAAGCCGCCGCCAAGGACTTGGCACCGGAGGGTATACGCGTCAATTGTCTTGCTCCTGGAATAATCAAGACAAAGTTCTCCAAGGCGCTCCACGAAAATGAATCAGCTAATGAAGCAGCCCTTAGCAAGATACCAATGGGGCGTTTGGGCACTAGTGAGGAAATGGCTGGTGTTGTGTCGTTCTTGGTCTCCGATGATGCTAGCTACATAACTGGTGAATCGGTGGTAGCTTCTGGCGGTATGACCGCTCGTCTGTAATACTCTGTCTGGTTCAATATATAAATACATGATGTGATTTATTCGCTTACGTGCTATGAATAACAACAGCGTGTTTAAAAAAATACAATATACAATTTTTTTGAGGCAGAAGGAGATTAAAAGGCACCAACCACAGCTATTAGGAAGAGCGAAGCTTTGCCAGTTGCTCTGCAATGTCCTTTTCGGTTCGTTTGCCGCTCGTCTCGAATTCACCCGATCCAGTGGCTGGAATGCTGGCCATTTTACCTGAGATTTCGATGCCAATTTCGTCAAGAACTTTGTTTACAACTGCATTGGACTCCTCCTCATCACCGGATTCGTTTAGCATGTCGTCCAATGTGTCGTTTATCATTTCATCAGTCATTTCCATACGCATATTAGCTTGCTGAAAGTCACGCACGTTTGCCGCAATCGCCTCTGGCCGCATCACCTTATTCATGTCGGCCATGGTCTTTGCTGTGGTGCCCATTGCCTCGCCCAGAGCAATATTTGCCCCCATGTTTTTGTTTTGGTACCCAATTGACTGAATCTTTCCTGTAGCTGCGTACGTGCGCGTCTTCTGTTTGCGAATTTCTATCAGCTGCTTGGCCAGTATGCGGCAAGCATCCTTGTTTCCCGCTGCTGCATTGCGTTTAATGTCTGCCTCCAACTTTTTCTCTTCCTCCTCCAGTTTGCGACGCTCCCGTTCAATGTCGCGCGTCGCCTTTCGCAGGCTTTTATCATTTTCACGCTGCTGCTCCTTTGCGGTGGGTTTCTTTCCAAATATATTGTTAAACATTGTTGAATTTATTTTCCTGATTGTGCAAATTCAGCCGAGCATTTAATGTTTTTCCCAAAAGATGATTCACACTTTGGTTGGTTTAGTTGGGGAGTCGTATCAAAATAAATACAGCTGATCAGAAAATATGACGATGCACTGTGAATGGCAAAACTATTAAGCTATAATAAGGGAGAGTTCTCACAGTGCTTGCCAAATAAATTATATTATTAACGTAAAAACAATGTCGGTTGAAATCCTGAAACAAGGCGCTGAAGGGCGTCTTTATTTGGGCGAATTCAAGGGCGAGCCCTGCCTCATCAAGGAGCGTTTCGTCAAGAAGTACCGGCATCCAGATCTGGACACACAAATCACACGGCAAAGAATAAAAGCCGAAGCAAAGGCGGCCAATCGATGTCAGGCTGCCGGCATCCTGGCACCACGCATCCTGCACACAGACCTAAACACGCACAAACTGTATATGGAGTACTTTGGCAGTGCCAAGACAGCCAAGCAGTTTATTCAGGAAACGGTTACGGAATCGGCAGAACCCGAAGCTGTGAAGCAGCAACTGCAGATACTCTGCACTCGTGTTGGCGGCATTATTGGCAAAATGCATGCCAATAACATAATACACGGCGACTTAACCACATCGAATATACTCATCAATCCCACAGCTGAGGATTACGATGTAATCTTCATAGACTTTGGGCTCAGCCATTATAGCCAGGCTACTGAAGACAAGGGCGTGGATCTGTACGTCTTGGAGCGGGCACTGCTAAGCACTCATAGCGAGCAACCTTATCTTTTTGACCTCATGCTGGCCGCCTATCGAAAGGAGTGTGGCAAGGATGAAGACGCAGTGCTGGCCAAGTTTGAAGAGGTGCGTGCCCGCGGCCGAAAGCGTACAATGATTGGTTAACAAATGGTATTCGTATTAAACTTTAATGACCTAAAAAATTAACAACACAACTTATTCTATGCTCTTAATATTTGTTGCGTCCTGGGGATCAGCGCGCAGCTCATTTATTTTTATTTTCTTGATGTACTTTCGGACTTTAGTTTTGCGGCGAATTTGCTCGTGCTTCAGTGGTTCCATTCCCTCCACCGGCGCATCCTTGTAACGTGCATATGGCCGTTCCTTTATCTTTGCAATGGCATCCTCTAGCTTTAGGTGTGTTAAGCCGTGCTCTTCATAATACAGACGGTATTTGTCACAGAACTTTGAGTGTCCCTTCTTATAGGCAGGAGTTTTCGTCGAGGGGTGCTAGAATGGAAGACACTGGTTACTACTGGTTTACTAGAGAGTGAATGTCAAGAAACTCACCCTTGCATCTATGGCCCGAGCACATCCTCTGTGGAAGTTGTGAAGATGTCGCAGAAACTGTTCATTCGGCCGAATGTTATGCTCTAGGCTTAGCTGCATTATTTCGTTGATGTACGCGAAGGATTTTTGGGCACAGCCCTGTCGTAACATTGCACCAAGAATGGGCATATTCATGCGTATGCCTGCAGCCTGCATTTGTTGCATAAGCTCCCGTGCCTCCTCCTGTGTGCGACAGCCAAGAGCCAACACACCATAGGTCACAATGTCTGGATGGAAGCCAGCGGTGCGAATCATTGTGAGTACTTCACGGGCACTCTCATAATCGAAACGCATCGAACGCTTCTTGATCAGTATGTTGAAGAAATCAATGTCGGCCTTTAGACCGATCTTGCGCACGAATGTTAGCAATTGTTTCTCAGCTGCATTAGTTGGTGGTATGACCTCGAGCATCGTTGTAAATGTCTCAATGTCTGGCGTTATATTGTGTGCCTTCATTAGATCCAAAAAGCCAGTAAGGCCGCCCAATAACAGAAATCTTTCATGTGGACGTGTGATCTCTGACAAGGCCACTAAACTGCCCAAATGTGGGTGTGGCAGCAATAGATTTGGTATCTCCAAATCCGTTGCAGCTGTGGACACTTCGATTTGGGGAGTTGTATTCGACGAGGTAACCGGTAAACTTTCTATTGTAGATGCTTCCGATGGCAAATATTTGTTCGTATCTTCATTCTTCAATTGTGCATTGGATGCAATTCCAGGTGCAATCTCCTCTAGAACCTGTTGCATGGAGTCTAAGTCACCCAAGCCACAGTCTCTAACACAACGCAATACGGCATTGAAGGTGTAATAGTCGGGTGTAATGCCTCTCTGCAGCATCTTATGCCAGGTGAGAAGAGCGTGCCGGAATCCATGTTCTTTATCGCTGGCACATGCTTGCAACAGAAAGTTAAACGTATCGGCGTTCACTTCCAGTTGACGTTCCAGCATTTCATCAGCTAGAAGGTAGGCGGTTTCTACATCACCACAACGTCCATACGCTTTAATCATGGCATTGTAGTTTTTTACATTGGGCTCATAGCCCTTTTCCAGCATATTTTCCCGCACATGTTGCGCCTTGGCCAGTCCATCGGCCCGCGAGGGTGCATTAGCACAGGCATTGAAGAGGGACGTGTACGTGCCACCCGTGACTTTTAGGCCACGTTGTCGCATTTTTGTGTATAGAGCAAACGCCTTGCGAGTGTAGCCTGCTTTGGCGCAGCCACTTATTAACAAATTGTATATGTAGTTCTCGGGCTTAACGCGATCCTCCTTTAGCATGCGTTTCTCCAGCACCTCAAGTGCTTCATTCACACGATGAGCATTTAAATGATCTTTGATCATTTTTGCGTATTCCTTTGTTCGCAGCTTTTTGGCATGGCGTGTTGGTTTGTTTATATACTCTTCCTCCTGAATGTCACCCGCATCTACTTGCTGGGTGTCGCTGAGTTTAGCATTTCCGAAAGTGTCGGGATCGCCAAAATCAACCTCCTTGTCTTTTAAAGGCTCTTCCTTGGGTCTATCAGCAAAAGCGGGGGCTTCACGAAATTTATTACGTAAGCGGCGGGCTCGCATTGATACTTCTGAGGGTTTCCCATCCTCAAGGATTTCTTCAAAGTTTCCAACTGCTTTGTTTGCTTCTCGCTTTGCTTGCAGCCCAGCTTCTTCATCAGACACACGCACGTGCAAAGCGCGTTGCCGGCAAATCAAATTGGCCGAATGTTTTATTTCGATAGCATTAAACCAGCTATGGATTGCCTGTTGCTGTGCGCGACAGATCTGCGGCCTCAATGCGTAGCTTAAGAAACGTAACGCCATTATTTATTTCGCCATTTTAATTTATATTTATATAATTAAATAACTGTAAGAAATTTGTACAGAGACCCACTGCGGACCTAAATACAATACCATAGCAATCGGCTTTTGTGCACTTGCACAGTACTGCCACTTTTCAAAATGCGTTTTATTGAAGAACTTTAAAAATTTAATTTTAAAATGTAGTAATCATGTAAAATTAAACTTTTTGTGTAAATGATGGGTGTGGTGGTTTCGAATAATAATACGAAACCCGTTTGTAAATCATGAATCTAAATAAAGACCATCTGTTTGGTCTTCACCATGAATATTTCCGACCAGCGAAGTTGAAAAGTGCTGCCAATTTTCACGTTCATCGCTGGCATATTAGTAAGAAGAAGAAGTGTGCCACCACTCCACCTGACCTGATTCGACTTAATTAGGGAGAAATATTATTAACAATTCCAAAATGAGCATTACTGTGGATCCTCGTCGGAAGGAGAAAATTCAGCGCTACAAAGCACCGAAGAATCAAACGCAGGGTGGAGGTGCCAACGAAGACATGATGCCTGACTACATGAATATTCTGGGTATGGTCTTCTCTATGTGCGGGTTGATGATGAAGCTGAAATGGTGCGCCTGGTTTGCGCTGTATTGTTCCTGCATAAGTTTCGCAAGCTCTCGTGTCAGCGACGACGCAAAGCAGGTGTGTATGATCCTTTAATGTAAATACCCAGCTTGTATTGATATGCCTCATTTGTGTTTATCTAGGTGCTTTCCTCCTTCATGTTAAGTGTTAGCGCTGTGGTCATGTCTTACCTGCAGAACCCTGCGCCCATGACTCCACCATGGGCATCGGCTACATAGAAAAGAAACATTCGTGCCATTTCTAGTTTTATTAATGATGGCAAACTTTATTCTGATGATGATCCAAAACGAAGATAATAAAACCCAAATAGTATGACAATTTTTAGAGTGTAAAACTTTAAATAACTTAACAATGCATGATAAATAAATGGTAAATTTTACTAATAAATTTGATAGGGTATTAAGTGGTGAGTATATAGTACGCAAACGCAATGAAAGCCAAAATATAAATGGTGCCGAAAATTAATACGTATTAAATTTCTCCGAAATTCGTATGGCCAGTGACCTTCGCATGCTGCTGGGCCTGGGTCTGTCCGACCAGCATAACGTCACATTGGAGACAGCGCAGAGTGAATTTGTCAACGTTCGTGAATTGCCGCGAAGATTTGGCCTCGTTGGCCAATTGCTCTGCCTGCTGATAGACGCCCAGCTCCTCAACAGGAAAAATGGTAGCTGGAGCGGCACTCTGCGAGGTTTCCATGTAAAGTGGGTCGTAGTGTATGCCATCGAAAAGCAGGAATACACGCAGGCCAAAGTTTTTGTCCTCGCCAAAACGGTTAATGATTGCATTTTGTATGTCCACCACATCGATTTCAATGCCATAGTAATTGGACAATATGGACACCTCAATGGCACCACCCCAGGAATCGGGTTTCTGTATCCAGGCACAATAGTCGGAGTTTGATTTGCCAAGCACGGCGTCATTGTATTGCTGTGGATCGGCGGAAACTTCTTGGGCAATGATATGGCGCATCATTTCGCTGCCTTCGTTATCAACTTTCCCGTTGAGAACAAAGCGTATGCTAGTGAATAAGCAAGAATTGTCCGCCGGGACCACCTTCTTTAGCAATATGCCATTGAAGTCACCGTTTGGTCCAGGAGCTACATCACGTCCAGGGGGCACAGATTCCCCAGCACCTTCGTTTATTTCGAAACTGCTAGTGCTGGATACTTGACGCAAGTGCTCGGCATCTTCTTCTGCTTGTAGACGACGCGCCAGCGCCTCGTCATCTTCCAATGTGGAATGCTGAGCCGTACTCACGCTTGAGGCAGGACCAGTGTTTGAAGAAGTAGCAGCTGGCACCGTAGCCGCCTTCTCCTCGACTATCAAGGTCTCGCCACTGTTAATCCCCACCGTTCGAAGGTTTTGCTGCTGCTCATCAGGTCCCGTGAGATCCAAAGGTCGTGGAGGGTAACCGACCAGTATGTGGAGCTGAGGCTCCTTGATTTGCGTAGCTGCCGCAATACGCGATTTAAGTTCGGCAAGCGTCGTATTCTCGCTCAAGTCATTGACAATAAAATGACCTTTTTTCGATTTCAGCTTCACACTAAACGAACCAGTCATAATTTATAATTATATAAACTTTCCAAAGGTAACCGAAACTTGTACTTTTTAATAGACTTTAGAATTTTGATTTTTTTTTTACTTTTATATAGTCTAATTTTGTTCGCTTTTTTATTGTTGTATTATGTCAGTTTATAAATACATATGAATAAATTCACAGCTATTCGTTTCCACTATGTGCATCAACTAGTTGTGTTATAAAAATAGCGGATTAACAATATGTGTTTACACGCAAAATTACAGTAGAAAGTGCTTCTTCAGATAAATATAATGCATATGCGAGCACTTTTTCATGAATATTATTTATTTATTTGTTGCTAGTGTCATTCTGAGTGAAGTGGAAAAGAAATCTATTTATTACAAGTGCTGCCAACTCAATTAACAGTACTGCCAGATCGTCCCATTATGTGACTTGCTTTTGAAGACTTGGCATCATTTTCGGAAGGCCCAGAAGCAGTTGAGAATGGACAGTTACTTTGAAATTTAGTTATTGAAAATACATGAATAATAAGCTATAAGCTACTTTATAAAATAAATTCTTTCTATTTTTTTGGGGCTTCTAATTATTTAAACATATAAAATATTTGAAGTTTCCAAAATTGTGGGTTCAAATCAAAAAACAATGCATTCGAGAATTTTCTATTTGTTTTCAAGTATGTTTTTATAAGTATTTGGAAGTCCCCACATCCGGTTTACTTAATAATGAACAGTAAAGGTGTGAAATGATTTGTATCCCATAACGCGTCCATATTCTAAAACCATTGTCGATCGCTAATCAAATATGTAATAAATCCGCGCAAACTAGCTTAAGGTGGGCAGCTATCGCACAAAACCAACAAAGGCCAATCCATAAAAGCGCTAATCAGTATTTAGTGAGAAAGAAAAAGCTAATAGCCAAGTCAAATAATATAGAACCAAGGAAATATTAACGCGAGACGTCAGTCAACAAATTACTCAAGACTTTGAGCTGTCCCTCACAAAAAGCTTCCAATAACAATGCGAAGCACCATCCCAACAAAGCAGCTCGCTTACAAAAATGTAGTTCGTTCGGTATTTTCCACACAGCGTTCCATGCGTGGTACACTAAAATCACATTTAATAGTCCAAACAAATTTATTGTTAGGTTGCGCTGCGGCCGACACATTTTACTTTACGTATTGTACGATGTGTTGTTTTTAATTTCTATAAAAGAAGCGCGCGCGCACGCGTAGACCGGACCGGTCACAGATCAATATAAATAGACGAACCGGCGATGTCTGGGCTCAGTGCAAGTTTGTCAACGCGAAACGCGACATCATTTATCATCTCTCGGTGCTTTAAGGAGTCAGTTACCTAAACACATAAATAACAATGAAATTCTTGCTCTTGGTGCGTGCAGCAATTCTGTGGATTATCTTCCTCGACTAACTCTGTTTTTGTGGATTATGTTCGATTTTTACAGACCGTTTTCGTTTGCTTGGCCGTCTGCTTCATGGCGACCAGCGCAGTTCCCGTCGAGGAGGCCATACCCGAGGGTATTGAGGGTATTGGTAATGAACCCGTCAACCCCACTGATGATCAGTCCATCCTGCTGAAACTGAAGCTGCTGAAGAAACTCCTGTTCTTGGGCTAAGCCCAGCCTTTATACAATTGGATTTTTAGTTTACTGTGCCTTTAGTTTTAAGATAACGCAAAAATATATGCAAAAGATTTTTTAAATCTTTAAACAAAACATATTTATTTTCTGTGAATTTTACTTTGTTTTCAAAACCCAATTTTTTTTTATTAGAGTTCGTGTTCTCAGTTATTTGTTTGCGGTAGAGTATTGGATTGAAAGTGTTCCGGCGGTATAATTGACTCGTTGAGAGAAATACATATGTACATACGAGTAGTACTTGGTATATATGAATAAAAAATAGTTAAAAATTGTGCTGTGTTGGGTAAAAATGAGCATCAAGGTTTTAGCCGGTATGTAAATTTGTAAATAAGCTAAAACAAGCAACGCGATTGTTTGTTAAGCATCTGCCTTTAATGTAAAAGTAAAACAAAATGCCAACTGCAGAATTTGTATAATAACAGATGTGTAGGTGATGATTATGCGATCTTCGCGTTTTACAAATTCACACTTCTTAATTAAATAGGAGAAGGTAGAGTTGATGTCTACAGCTTATGTTTAATAGAGGTAGAATACTTGGAAAGTACTCGCAGATATGGATATATAAAACGATTCCGAATGGTAGCTTCGTCTTCATCCGTTCACTTTTAGCCAGAACTTTACTAAAGCTCTCAAGCATATAATTTTGGCGAGAAAAAAACATGTGACAGTGTCTGGCTCCCGCCCGTTTCTATATGTAAAAGGGCTGAATTAAGTAGATAAAGGTATTATGAGGAAATAAAAAATAAATTTCGAAACATTGTTGAACCAGTTCTCAATAAAATTTACCACGCAAGTGATTAGCGAACAAGGATGGCCAATGAAATGGGTCAATGTTTAATGATTGGCGGGACCTGTTATTGCGCACAAGGTGAAATGGGAAGCAGTCAAAAGCTATTCATACATTTTCACATAATACGAAACACGTTTCGCTGCCTTTACGTAGTAGTTCCTCAGCAGGCTGGCGGCTTTTGAAAAATTGAAAGCGACATCATTGCATAAAAAAGTCAGTCAGTCAGTGACTGAGTCCTCGTGCGTCTGACATAATAACAAGTACATACTTTAGTATATAACAATTACATTTATTTAGTCACATATAGAGTAGTATACAGGTATACGAGTACATTAAGATGTAGATGCCAATCAATTTACACATAAGTAGATGTATCTAAGCGAAGGGGTTAACAAGTATTGAGCAGAAAATTCCAAGCGGTGTGCCGTGGCTTTCCCAAGCATTGTTCAGAGGTGACGTTCCTAATTTGTGAATTCTTGTGAATGAATTATTTTTGTACATGGACTAGAGTCAACATTTGTGATTTGGGGTATCTACGAGTGCATAGCTTATCCCAACTTGAGCAGCTTCTTCAGTTTCTTCAACTTGAAAATGGCCTGAGGATCATGAGGATTGTGCGTATCGTCCTCGCCATAAAAGTCGCCCTGCAGCGACTCATCCACAGGCACAGCCGATACCAAGGCTACTATCAGCAGGCACACGAAAATTGTCTGTGAAGAATACGAGTAACTTGTTATCCTTGAGCGTTTAATTAAGCATTCCCTGAGATACTCACCAATGCAAAATACTTCATGATGGATTGGTGGTAGCGGGTTTTTCAAGATGTGTTTTTGAAAAATAAACTGCAACGGCGACTGCTTCGATGGTTAATCCAAAAAATTGACTGCACTTACCAGAGCCAGCGCTTAGTGTTTTTATACCAAATGGATGGCCAAGACTCAGCCGAGTATAAGAAGTGACGATAACGCCTCGAAAACGAAACGAAAACAAAAGTAAGGCCCAATCGATAATGTCATATGCAAACTGCAAATTACACTGCGCCTCATGCATGGACGGATATACATATGTATATACATACGTATGTTTGTATGTGATACATAAACAAAAACGCATAAATTCACAAAGATGGTCAACAAAACAACAACAACAACAACAAAAGAGTAAAAGAAGAAGCCTAAAAATTGCATACGAAACGAAATGATACGACGCATGCGCAGCGGCCTTTACTCAAAAGCCCAAAGCCCTACTGGTAGTCTGGCCGCCAGTTGGCCTCTTTTCACGACTTATGCTAGCTTCGCAAATAAGCAATATTAAAAGTATGACCACAAAAAATAAACAATTGTGTACCTGGGCAGTGGCGGTGGTCCGCACATTCAAGTGGCTTTTGTTTATTCGCGTTCGTCGGTGGCGTTTAGTTTGTGCCGCCTGACCGCCAATGTTTGTGCCACTGAAGTAGTTTGGAGATACGCAAATAGATTAGACCACTAGCACACATATAATTACCAAAATAGTTAAAGGTCAAACATTAAGTAAAGTTTCCCAACAAAGAATTATGTAAGTGAACAATGTTCTACACTCTGGAAGGGACCTAAGAGGATTAATATCTGACCTGATGCATAGTAGTAATAGTAATAGAAAAACCGCACTTATGGCTCCTCGCTTTTAAAATAATTAAAAACCAATTAGATAAGTTACCTAAATAAATTATTCAATACAAATTCGATTGTTAGCAAATTGTACATTAAAATCATCGTAATGCAACTAATTTTCAAAATACCACATCTTTAAATGGTGATGTAATATACAAAGCTATATATATTTTAGATATACCTTTAATTAGAGTCTAAACAAAATATATTTAATCTTACATATTGTATTAGTAAGTAGTAATCGATTGACAAAATCGGCTTCTTGAAATTTAAACCGCTTCTACACCAAATTTGTGACAATATCGCTTACGTTTATACAGACATACATTGTTTCAGACTTGTGCCATTAAATAGCTTCTATTGTTACTTTAATTGAGAAATAAATAATTCAAATTAGCACTGACGTTTGATTGTATGGTTGAGCTTACCTTTGCTGCTATGAACACGCGTGGACACGCTTCGTTAATAATCTGCTTTATACTCTGCTTTAAGTCGACTTGTGTATTTATATGCATTTTGAATGAAACTTTCATAATTAGCTTAGTCTAGATACAATAATCATGACTGAAGACAACATTTGAAGCTGCTGATCAACAATGCACCTCGATATGGTATTCTAACTAAAATTTATTGATATATGCACAAGCGATTGCCATTAAAGCGCAGTGCAGCTTTCGGAGCTGTGCCCTCCGGCGGCGATAAAGGTTGAATAAATTATGGCAGGCAAACAAAGCTCTAATCACTCGACTATCAGTCGTTCAAATTGAAATTCAAATGCTTCAGACGAAGATCAACTCAAGAACGCCACGTCACACTCGAAGAAATCAAAAACTCACACCTTCGACTCGACCAATGCACAAATTAATTAAAATACACCTTCTCCCCTCCACAAGATGTTGTTATTGGTCGGTCGAAACAATGATCGACATACCAGTATATACACAAATATTTAGCACTTCTAATGGCAACCTAGCCAAGAGTTTAGCTAAATGGGTGGGCAGGGCAGAGGCAAAGCAAACAGATGGACTTATTTAGCTTAATTTGATTTTATGGAATCGGCAAGTCATCGCCAAAGAGCGGCATTAGCATATTGATGGTGTTGTTGTTGTTGTTGGTGTTGGTGTGGACTCAGCGACGAATGTGGTGCATGCGATAAAACCGGAAATGTAAACAAATCCACAACGCAAGCACATATTATCCAGCGATAGGCACTCGTAGGTATGTTGGGAACTTAAGTGGAGTCAGAATCCGGCGATTAGCATGTGGCGTGACAGTTGGAAAAATCTTGAAACGTTTCTGCTAAATTGATATCACATTACTTGTAGAAGGCAAAAGTGCTTAGTATGGTTAGTGATTATGCAAATAAATACAAAGCGTAATAAAAGTTGTGAACAATCTTAACAATATACTGATACAAATACATTTATAATATTACTATAAATACAAAAATGCACACCTGTCGCTGTCAATGAATTTGTTTAAGATGGCTTGTGGGACTGGTAGATGAATGGACAGCAAATTTTGTTTGCTGTTGACTTTTACGGCCAAGTCATCGTCGTCAGGTCGTCTGGCCGTCTGCCAACAATTGTTAACGTGTTTCTGTCTCTGTGTGGCCATGGACATTTCAATCAGCTCATAAACTGCTGCGTGGCCAAAGGGCGTGGCAATTGATGCTGCGTAAACGACGTAAACATACACGTATTTGTCTTCCGACCAAATAAATGGCAGTGTCTTTTACACATTTTGCAAAGCTTTTGGGTATTTGTGCGTTGACGTAAGTTTTGGGTAATTTTATTAAAAACATTTGGCATAAATTTAAGCATTACAAAAAAGTTGATGGGCCGTTAGTATAACACAAACAGAACAAGAATGGTAGAGTCGAGTGCGACCAACTTTTAAATACACTGTAAACATTGGTGGGAAAGCAGGAAATTTCATCTAAAAGAAAATGCAAAAGGAGGACACATCTGTGTACCAACTTTTGTTATTCCGGCTCTCTTCCTTTTTGATATCCTTGTGATGATACACACGAACATTCGGGCAGTTTAACATAAGTAGATAAATCGACCCATCTCGTTGGATATGCTTTTCATCAATTTGCCCTTCGAGTAGAGGACAGAAAAAGAGCAAGTTGTTAGCCGAGATAATTTGCATATAAGAATTCAAAACACATTTTAGGGGCCAATCGATCGAAAGGGTTCCAAAACCGGAATTAAGATGGGAAAATTCGAACCTATTGTTCTTGATTAGCTTTCGAGCGTGACCTTTCCTTGACGTTAGGCTTTTTGCCAAAAACTAGCCATTCATTTTGAAGTTAATTCCCGACTAAGCTATCGACGAACATTCCATTCCAGCTGCATCATAATTGCCAAAAATCAATTACTAGAAACAGAAGTCAATCAATGAACGCACCTTTTTATCAGTAACAAAAATATATTAATATAAAAAAATATAATAAAATATAAATTTCTGTTCTTTTCTTTTAAAAAAGATTGGTCTTTAACATTTACGGAAATAGTTGTATTTGTAAAGAGGCTCCGTATTTAAAGGGGTACCAACATTACTTGTCCTTGTTTCTTATTTCTGTACAATGTGTTATATGTAATCGTACTTCTGCTAACGCTCGTGCCTAAACTAACACTAATCATGCATGCAACCGAGCTCGGTCCCGAACTACTCTTTGTTCGCGCCTTACCCGTTTCATGGCACACCAAATGCAAACAAGCTGATAAGGATCTGGGCATTGTGGACGTGTTCCAGTGGCAGCGCCAGTTGGGACGTACGCGTGTCAAATGGAAAGCCGTTGCCGTAATTGTGAGGCCACAAAGCGTCGCAATTAGCGAAGGCGACGTGGCGTGACTAAAGAGACGAAACACGCCGGCTTTTGAGCTCCGACAAAACGCTAAAAATATTTCAGTTGACATTAGCCAATGGAGACGTATGCAGGTCAGCATTATGGGTCAATATCAAACACACAGCACAATTAATATGAAGAGAAGCACAACAATGATGGTGATGATGACAATGGTCTTGGCTTTGATTTTAGCAGCGGTTCAGGTGCTTTGCGTAAGTCGAGTGCCAAGTAGTTGCAAATTTTCGAAATTGTCGGCCGACTCTCAAACAGCTCAACATTCAAATCGATCAATTTTACTCGCAATCCTTTGTGCCCAACGACATCTTCGTCAGCTTCAGTGTGGACCGTATGGAGGCCATTAATTTTAATCTGAGCGTGCACGAGCAGTTTCCCGGAAAGCTGCTGATGCACATATTCGTACGTAGACTGCCGGACGAGCCCGGAGGTAAGAGCGTTGATATAGTTAAGATGAAGAACCTGGACTTCTGCAAGACTTTGGAAACGCTGCGTAATGTGACAGCCGAGAAAATGCAGGCCAATAATTTAATGCCTTCCACATTTTTGGTGTCCTGTCCGCTAGTTCCGGGATTCTATTTTGTGGATGGCTGCGTTTTCGATGACCAAGTGCTGCCCACCTTCATGTGTGATGGACGCTATTTTGTGCAAATAGAACTTATACAAGTCTACGAGGAGGTCATCAAATTGCTCAACTGCAAGATCAAGTTTCGAAGGAAAGTCCCAGAAATGCAGCCTGAACAGTTCCCTGGGAATGAAACCGTTGATAAAGAGGACAGTAGTGGCATTAACCAGGCTAGTGAGGAACCACCACATAGTGGAAATGATAATGATGATGGTAATGAGGCAACAACCAAAGAAATCGCAACGGAAGAAATTACTGAAGAGCCCGTAAATGATAACGAAGACGGCACAATTGACGAAGAGGATCAAAATTATAATGACGATAGTGAAGAGAGTGTGAGACGAAAATAATAAATTGGTAAAAAATTCATTATTGTTGTAATTTTTCAAACCCTTAACAACTGTAACAAGAAAGACTGCTCTTGTAGTGTAGTATTGGTTTTGTTTTTACCAGTTTGAGGACCAATTTATCCATGCTGCTGATTAACTAATTTTTGCCCATTGGTTTAGGGATAGTAAATGATTTAGAACAAACAGCTAAACATTCATAGATTTTGCTGTAGTTTAAGCAATGTTGTTTCAAAAAAGTTGATATTATTTACATAGTGTTGCATATTTTACTTATAATAATTTCAATTTATTTTTAATACATATTTGAATAATG